GGGGTGGGAGGGCCTCAGCCCAGCATGGCCTGGAGCTGTCTGTGCCCATCCAGCCCCACACTGCCACAGGTGGAGCTCCACCTGGCTGTCTAGTATCCTCACAAAAACCTTGTTTTCAAAGTGAAAGAGCCTGACTATTCCTCAGCTAAACCACTGTCACCTTCAAAGGGAGACAAGACTCAGCCTGAGGAGGAAGGCAGCAGGTCCCTCGCACTGCAGCCCTGACCATCCACCCAGCACAACAGGAACTTTCCCAGGACCCCCTACAGAGGGCACTGCCCTGCCGGGGACCACTGTATCTAACCCTCCCCTCTCCCTCAGGGTAACACGGAATTCGCATCCCAGGAAGGTGAGGCAGTGAGTCAACCCTGAGGACAATAATGAATGGGGACATTCCCTCCCTTGGGCAGGGCTAGACAGGTCCAGTACCTGCTTGGTAATGGCCTGGGATGTCAGTGGTCTCGTAGACAGGCTCGGAGGCATAGGCCAGGCCCTGCTGGCTGCCCACCTCTGGGACCCCCGCAGCCTCGGTGCTGTACACAGGCTCAGGTTCACTCCCACCTGAGGGGCCTCCATAGCTCGGCTCTGCCTTGAACGAGGCTGCATCCTGGGGAGGAACAAACAAATGTCTGGTGCTGTCATCCCAGGGGGAAGAGCTCTCATGAGGCTTTTGACTAGGCTTCACCTGCAGGTGACCACCATGGTCAGTCAACGCAAGGCAGGGGTGGAAACCACACACTGGGCGCAGGGAAGTCAGTTTCCTGTGGAGGGCAGGACCAGGTAGGGCCAGCTGCCATAGGCTGAAACCCACATCCTAGATGGGCACAGGGGACCACGGGGAACAAGGCACAGGAATGACAGACAGAATCCCTTCTGGTAAGATGCCAGTGCTGAGGAGGGACTGAGGGTTGACAGTCAGCTCCTGGTACGGCAGTCCTACACTAAGCCCGAACTATCTTCCCACCCATGCTGGTTAGTTCTTGTCAACTTCACCCAAACCTAGACACCTGGGAAGTGGGAACCTCAATTGAGGAATTTCCTTCATCAGCCTGGCTTGTGACCATCTACAAGGCATTTTCTTGATTTCTAATTGATGTAGGAAGGCCCACCCCACAGTGGCAGTGCCATCCCTGGGCAGGTGGGCCTGGGCTGTGTAAGGCAGCTGAACAAGCCAGGGGAGCAAGTCAGTAAGCAGCGTTCCTCTGAGGTCTTTGCTTTGGTCCTGCCTCCAGGTTCCTACCTGGCCTCCCTCCGTGATGGGTTATGACTTGAGAGTTGTAAGTGAAAATGAACCATTTCCTCCCCACGTTGCTTTTGGTCAGTGCTCTATCATAGCAACAGAGAAGCAAACCAGGACAGGACCACAGCACCTCAGGTCCCTGCCCTCACCCCAGAGTCCCAGCAGAGCTGCCAATCACAGGACCCACCCGCCTGCCCCCCTTGGAAACAAGTGCTGTCACCAGCCTCATCATCCAACAGCCAATATCCGGCCCCTGGCCCAGCAGGAGCCTGGCTGTGTGGGAACAGCTTGGTACGCTCTGTTGGATGGGTCACTACCTACAAGGCCACATCTAGGGAGTTTGGTGGGGAAACTGCTACAGGAGATGTGGCAGGGGCACGCAGGAGAGGAGAGCCGGTGGTGAAGAGGCCACGTGAGTCCAGGCTACCGTCAGCGTCATGGCCTTCCCAGAACCCATGAGTGATGCTAGAAAGGGGAAGGGCAGCATGTAGCCAGGCCGAAGGCTTGGGGATGGGCTGGGGCCTAAGGGACATGGTTATAGGCAGAGGGGCTCACTTCAGTGAAGGAGCCCCAGGTCCAGGGAGAGTGCAGGAGACGCCAGGCAGGCAGCTCAGCTATCAAGGATGAGATGAGAGCCCCACAGGTGCCGCATATGAAGGGGCCACAGAGACCAGAGGACAGGGTGCTCACGAGGCTGAGAGGGAGCGGAAAAGTCAGGAGTGGCAGCCCAGGACTGAAGGAGGACGAGGCTCCAGGGGGCAGGGAAGCTGGTGTAACCAGCACATCTAAGTACACAGCCTCCACTGACCTCCCAGGAGCCACAGGGAGAGTAAGGCCACGCTGCTGTGGGCCGCCCAAAGCTCGGAGGTTGGGAACCAACGGGGGGGGGGGGGGCTCCCTCCACGGGCACACACCCAACACTCCACCATGACACTGTACTCGGATGGGCACAGGGCTGACACCGTGAGGCCCAGCCTAGCGCTGCCCAGCAGGGGTAAGGGAAGCTGGCCAGCAGGTCCCACTGGCCAACAGACCACCCACCTCATAGACGGGGCTGGAGGGCGGTCTGTCCTCAGCCAGCTGAGGACTGGGGGACACAGGGGGTGTCTGCTTCTTGGTTCTGGCTTGCTCCTACAACAGAAGACAGCAACCATAAGGTTACCAGGTCAGCCCAAGATGTCACATCTGCCTTGGTAGAGACAGTGTGTCACAAGACGGTGGCGCCTGGGTGGGGAGCACGCTGCTGGCCAGAAGAGCAGAAACACCAAGGTAAAGGGCCAGGTGCCTTGACGCAAAGGGCAGGCAGCGCAGCATTCCCAAGGACACAGTGGCCCGCGGCATCATAAGGAAAGACGCACTTAGCTATCAAGTGGACCAGGACACTGGGCAGAGGCCATGGACTGAGAACTGCAGGGACCTTTGAGCGAGTGGTATAATCTGCACATGGGGTGGACGTGGCATCATGGGGTGGCAGGTGTGCTGCTGACAGACTGCGCCCACAAGGTGACATGCTGGTCCCTGGGTGCCATGACAGAACACTAAGGGGAACTGTGCAAGGATGGTACGGCAGACGGCTCAGACTGTGGGGCCACGTCATCCCAAAGTCTCGACAGGGAGATAAGGACGGCTGGGGGGTGACCGGGGAAGCAGAATGTGGTGTGTGGAGAAGGGCCTCGAGCCAGGGAACCTAGGCAGCCTGGAGAAGCTAAAGGCAGCATCAGGGATCCACCCAAGGCCTCCAGGAAGGCTACAGCTGGGCAACGTCTCTCAGGACTCCCGGAGTTCTGGGTTGAGGCAGCAAGTGTGGGGTGTCTTAGTCACTTGGGGATCACACTCAAACAACAGCATAGGAAAGTGAATGGGAGTCACATGTCCCATAGGATGTTCAGAGTCACACAGCCAGACCCAGACAGACTGAACCCATCTCTCCACTCCAAGTCTTCTCCCTGCCCTCTGCCTAGTGGAAGCTACGGTTATAGTGCGTGCCCTTGAGAGAAATCCCCAGACACTCGGACACGGTCTCTGCACCCAGGGGCCTGGCCTGTTCTGCACCATAGGACAGCCACTGGCGATCACCACAGGTGACACACCTCAGTGCACCATGGCCCAGTGCATCCAAGGGCAGAGCTGATCTGGGAAGGGCTGAGATCTGGGCAGCCTGGGTAATGGATCTGAGCAGAGCTCAGGCCTGCAGCGCAATGTGGAGGCCAGACTGCTGAGTTAGTCAAATGGCATTGCCAGCAGCTGGAGGCCGTGAAGGCTCTTCCCAGCCCTTCCAAACCCAGCTAGGCACTAAGAGGCCCTCTCTGCTGCATGCAGCTTGGAGATGAAGCAAGCACAGGTAGGTCAGGCCCAGTCTCAGTCACCTCACATCCAGAGGCTCTGGATGAGGACAGTATGTCAAGGACTCATTTTGTGGGGACAAGGACAGAAAAGGACCCTACGGCAAAGTAAGGGTGAGGGAACCTGGGAACAGAGCTAGGCGGCTACCCAGAGCCCAGACGACCCTGCCAGCCTGCAACAGTCGTTTAAAAAGATGGGGGGGCGGGTAGTGCCACAGTGTATAGACAGAAACTAACACGGGAGCGCCTTACCCTTTGGAATGGGGGAACAGGTCTCTAAAGAAAGTAGAACGAACTTTAAACTCATGGTCACTTCTGCATCTAGCTGCGTGTCCTGAGACACACCGATGCCTGGGCTCCCAGCACCATCTGCCAACCATATGCCATTTCCTTTAACCTCACATCCTCCTCCAGGGTCTCAACCCTACCTCCTCAGGGAAGAAGCAAGTATCCGTGGACTCAGACAAAGCCTCATATTTACGACATTACGTGTATACGACTCAGACATCTTTGAGTTATTTTATTTATTTACTTTATGTGTATGAGTGTTTTGCCTGCATGTGTGTAAGTGCATGCATGTCAAGCAAGGCCTGCGGAGGTCAGACGAGGGTGTCGGATCCCCTGGAACTGGAGTTATAGATGGCTGTTAGCTGCCATGTGGGTGCTAGGAATCGAACCCACGTTCTCTGCAAGAGCAGCCAGTACTCTTAACTGCTGAGCGGTCTCTCCAGCCCCACTTTGTCTGAGTTATAAAGGATTCTACTGCCCAGTTACGCTGGGGAGCCATAGTAAAGAGAGCCACCTCCTCTGGACATGTGACCATGGGGCCATGGAAAGGGGTAACACTGCAGGTACCTAGGTAGTGGCTGGCCAGACTGTACTGGCTGTAACCAACACAAATGCAGGAGTAGACCTTCCTCTGAGCCCCTTCTGAATCTAGCTGAGGCAAAGAAACTCTTCTCAGTGGCAAATGTAATAGAAGCTTCGGGAAGGACACTGGCCCTTGCCCTCTTCCCACAGCCCCCACCCCTCTTTTAATCAAAGTGGTGTTCAGAGTGACAGGAGACAGTGGCTTGCCCACAGTGCACCTCCTTGAAGGCTCCGAGAAAAGCAGCTGGGCTCTGGGGGACACCTCTCTGGGAAGGCACAGTAGTGCATGTTTATAATGCCAGTACTCGGGAGGCTGAGGCAGGAGGACTGCTCCAGGTTTAAGCCCAGGGCCGGGGCTGCAGCTCAGTAGTAAGGCACTTGCCCTGCACGCATGAGGCCGTGGATTTAATGCCCAGTATTAACACAGAAAGAGCCCAAGCACTGGCTCAGGAGCCCCTGCGCCTCAGCGCCCTGTCCTGCCAGGCATGCTATCCGACTCACTTCTAGCTCCCTGCGAGCCTCTTCCTGCTCCTGTCTCTCCTTGGCCATCCGCTGTGCTCTCTCTGCTTCCGCCTTCCGTCGGTCTTCCTGTTCTCGCTCCTTCGCCAGGTTTTCAAAGTTAGCGCGGATATTACTGGTCTTATTGGTCACTAGAGGAAAGAGAAGGGCCATCTGTCTCAGAACACTTCTCCAGGACAAATGCCAGGTCAGGGTGACCTTTCAGGAAAGTCATCCCCACCTGGGGGGAGGTGTCCCCCATGGAACCCTGCCAGCCCACCCTGGGCCAACCATCTGTGAAGTCCAAGGCAGGCTGATGGGTGTCAGAAGCCTTGGGTCTGGACCACAATTAAGCCAGGCACTGTCATGTTCACCACCACATGCTCAGGCTCAATAAAGCAACTACCAACCTCAGCAACCATGAAGGTCGAGCCGGGGTGTGGCTCAGCAGGCAGATGCCTACCTAGTGGGGGTGGGCAGCTTGGTGGGAGAGCACCTGCCTAGTGGGGGGCTGGAGGTGTGGCTCAGTGGTAGAGAACTTGCCAGGCACGCAAAGGTCTGTATTTCATCCCCAGTACCATAAAGGGGGAAAAATGTCTTCTACAACAGTAAAAAATGAGCCAGGTATGGTGATGCACACTTAGTCCCAGCACTCGGGAGGCAGAGGCAGGCAGAGCTCTGTGAGTTCAAGGCCAGCCTGGTCTACACAAGGCGTTTCAGGTCAGCTGGGGCTACAGGGAGACCCTGTCTTAAAAACAAAACAAAATAAAACCCACGAAGAAAACACACTGCTCTTTTGTGCCAATGTAAAAACTGAAGCTTTCAAGCAAAACTACAGACTGGCTGCGGGAGTGACACACACCTGTGGTCTTAGCACGTAGGAGGCTGAGGCAAGAGGATTGCTTTAGGTTCTAGGCCAGCCTGGGCTATACAATGAGTTCAAGGCCAGCCTAAGATACATAGTGAAACCCTGTCTAAAGACAAATGAAAAACAAAATCAGAAAAATCCGAGGTTTAGGAAACGTGTAGCTGTCACCATGACAGCAAGCACACGAGACAGCAACAGACGTGCCTCTTACGTGCATAAAGAGAAAGCTGTGGCCGGGCAACAGGCCCAACCTGGGGACCCTATAGTTCAAATGGTTCCGGAAGTGCTCAGAGGAAACCACAGCCCAGGAAACCTCAGAGGCGGGGTGGGGGTGGGGTTAGGGTTAGGGGTGGGGAGTATACCAGTGGAAACCACAGCCTGGGAAACCAATGCTCCTGCCCGGCTGCCAGGCTCACGCAACCACCCTGAAGGCAAAGGCTGCCACAGTCCCCTTCTCCCGTGGCCCACACATCCATTCCTGCTGCCTTGTGAAGGCAGAGCTGGCGGAAGCCAATCTGCTCACCTGGTCTGTTTGAGCAAGGTTAATTTCCATAAGGGATTCTGTATAAGCATGGCATAGTTTTGCTGTTTTAAAATCAATTCAATTACCCTCTCCCACTTCTTTTTTTGGGGAGACAGGGGCCCAGGCTGGCCTGGGACTCACTAGGTCACCCAAACTAGCCTTGAACTCCTAGCAAGACTCTTGCTTCAGCCTCCCAAGCGCTGAGATTACAGGTGTGTGCCATCATGCCTGGTCCCCTCTCCGCTATGCAGCAGGTGTCAATAAACACACATGGTGCCCATGGCAGCCTTTGCTAAGGGCCCTCAGTGACTTCCACAAGAGCTGCAATGGCCTGAGAACTGATCCCAGCGTCTGCAGTAATAACTGGGTCAATCTGCCTCCTGTGGGTTTGTGGTTTCTATCCCACTTGCCATTTCCACAAGAACAGATATCTTTGGGTATCTCACTCCACACCTGTGCAACAGGCAAGGGCAGCCTGGTCAAGGACCTGTGGGTGAGAGGTAAAAAGGTCTCTGCTTTCCCTCATAGGCATCACGGCAACCTCCTCCCGCTGTGGCGGGGCCAGTGAGGACAGAAGGCACAGGGGACATGTGTGAGCTGCTCCCAGAACCTGATCACCAGCAGTCTGGGGACATACAGCTAACCCATCTGTGTGTTGGGAGGCACCCCTTAAAACAGACCCCACTCTGAAGCCACAATTATGCCAATTCCCCTAATACTCCCACTAATGCCACACTTGGGTGGTTTCTCCCTCAGCCTAGGAGACCCCACAGCACCGATGTTCTCCCCCCCAAGGACCACGTGGTGCTTCCAGAGAGCCAGGACTCACCAGCCTCTAGAGGGACAGTCTTCTGGTAGGCAGAGGGCACCTGGGCCACATCTTCAAAGGTGGACGCATTCTGCGGAGACAAGACAGGGTCAGGGAGCTGCTCTGGCTCCTTCATGCCCAGGCTGGCTGCCACCCAATGAGCCTGACAGGCTGCCCCAAGCTTCAAAAACCACCGACAGCCCAGTGTTGTCACCCACCCCATGCTTGCAGATCCCCTGGGCCTGGCTCTCCTTCTATGACCTGCTGCTGACTACAAGTCAGCACCGCACAGACACGCTCTCACATCACAGGGCACAAACCACTGCGAGGCTCTGTGAGACACCAGGTCCTGACCCTCTGTACTCTCACTACCTCCCTGCACAGCAGGGGTCCTGGAAGCCAGTGGCTGATGCAGGCACAGGTCGTCAGGGCTATGGACGCTGCTGACCATCCCCAGCAGCCTCATTAGACACCAGACTTCTCACGACCACTCAGGGCCAGGTCAAAGGTGGCCCAGGGCCCCCACCCCCAAGGACCCCCCGCCCCCAATCCACAGTGAAGGTGCACTGACTCCAGCACAGGTCACTCAAGAGGGACGATGCTCAGCTTAACCCTCCTCACTGGCTCTGACGCCCATCCCCATTCCACAGGGAAGCTGAGTCCATCAGGGACAGCCGGGGGTGAGGGGCTGCCAGAGGGGCCCGAGCACCAGCCACCCCACCTGCCCCCACATACCGAGCCATTAGCTGCCTCGAGGCACAGCCTGGGTCCCATCCCCACCCCCCACAGGCCCCTGGCAGGCCCACCACTTTCTGGGCTCTGGAGTGCCCACTGCACAACAGACCAAGGGAAGTGCCTCACCTCACTCACAGAGGCGGAAGAGGTGATTCTAACCTCACACTTCCTGACTGGTGTACGAGGTCTGCGGTCACCCAGCATTACCACTGCCACCAACCACAGACACGAGACGGAAGCTTCCTCAATGCCTCAGACTCTGTCAGCTCCTTCCCTCCTCAGTCCCAGGACCTTCAGTGACCCAGACACCAGGTCCAGCCACCTCGCCCTGCAAGACTTTGCTGGCCTGCCTCATGGCTACCATCCCATAGGTACAGCCCTGGGTGCCCCTTGGCATACTGAGGGCTCCATCCCTTCCCTGGCCAGCACAGTGACACTCTAGCCTCCTGCGGCCTTAACCTCATCTCCAGTTCAGTGAGGCCCTCCCACTGCCTAGCATCACACCAGCACACCTCACTCACAGAGGCGGAAAAGGCAAATTGAAGCCAATTCCCCTCCCCAACTTAAGGCCACTTCTAGCCCACTTTCTTTCCTCTCTCTCTCTCTCTCTCTCTCTCTCTCAGATTTAGTTTAAGTATATGAGTGTTTTGCCTGCATGTATATAAGTGTATCACATGTGTGCCTGGTGTCTGTGGAGGACAGAAGAGGACGTCCCTGGAACTGGAGTTATAGATGGTTGTTAGCCACCATGTGTGTGCAGAGAGCCAAACCTGGGTCCTCTGCAAGAGCAGCCAATGCTCCTAACCACTGAACCCTCTCTCCAGCCCCTACTTCATTGTTTTTCAAGACTTGGTCTCATGTCTGTCCCAGGCTGGCCTCAAACTCTATATAGCTGAAGATGTCCTTGAACTCCTGATCCTCCTGTGGCTCACAGCTGACCCCACAGGCTCATGGCTGACCCACAGGCTCATAGCTGACCCACAGGCCTATGAAACCCATCCAAAGCAGCCACGGCTGGCGAAGGACTCTGGGAGAGGAAGGAACTGTTTCCAGGGGAGTGCATTATGGCACCTAATAGACAAAGCTAAGCGTGATGGCGCCCGCCTCTAATGCCAGACCAGGGCCAAGGCAGGGGGAGCTCAAGTTCCAGGCCAGCCTGGGCTACACTGCAAGACTGTCTGAAAAAAAGAGAGAAAGGCAGGCAGGCTAGGGCCCAGGGATGGCCCAGTGGCGGGCCATCTGCCAGGAGGCTAACGGTCTAGACCGGCTTTGTCTGTGATAACAGCCATGACCTCGTATGGCCACAGAGCTGTTCCAAAATAGACAGCTGACCAGAGAACTGTTTCCAGACTGACCTACTATCAATATTTATGTTTAAACAGCCACATGGCCCCCAGGATCTCTCAGCAGAGGCAGACTACTCCCTGCACCGGGCCTGCCTGGCCTCAACCCAAGTGTGTCACGTGAGGCACACAGGTAGCCATTCACAGCCACCAAATGGCAAGTGCCCAGTGTCACTGGACAGACCTCCAGCACTGTGAGGCACGACCCATACAACAGTGACCCACATGAGGACCAGCAACTCCCCAACCTTACCTTGTCCATCCGGTCCTTCTGTACCCCGAACTTCCCACCGAATCCTTTGGAGTAGTCTGAAAGACGGCAGAGTGGAGATTTACTGTGAGGTTGAGGGTGGGCCAGGCAGCAGCAGGTGCATGCAGACCGGTCCACAAACAGCCCAGGAAAACGCACGAGAGCAGAGGGGTACAAGAAGTGGGGCGCACAGGCTCTCCTGGCCAGCTGTCTAACCACAGTGCCCAGTGCAGGCAGGGTGAGGAGAGGCGTGGGCATGCTTCCGGCATTCAGATGTGAACCCCAGGATTGGGGGGGGGAGCAGAGGGGCGGGGCAGCAGGCTGGCAGGAAGGAAGCCGAGGAGAGGAGGGTGAGCACAGGACAGGCCTTTGCACTGGGCCACTTCTATAGCACAGTCTTCACACCGGCCAAGGCCTTAGTCCCATCTGCGTCCTGGGCGCCTGTGCTACGGGGCACTAAACAGAGGCCCCGTCCCAGTTCTCTTGCTTTTTAAAAGAAAAACAAAAAAGACTCCATGTCGAAAAGTCACCAGTCAAGGGTGTCTGTCGCAGTCACACACACCCACATAAAAGCGACAGTCATGCAGCCTTGACGTCACCGGGAACCAATGGCCACTTCCATGCGGTCTGCGGGGCCGGTCCCTGGTGTGTCCACCCCAGGCCTGATGGCAGCCTGAAGTCCACACTTCACCCCGGGCAGGGAGTCGCATGCTCCGCAGGGCACCCAGGTTTCAGGACCAGGTCTAACCTCTCAAGGAGACGGAAAACTGCAGCAGCTACTCAAGTCCCCAGCGCACCAGGAACTTCAGCCACGTGCAAACCGTGTGCACACAGTGTGGCTCTGTGCAGAGACACTACACACGGATGGTGTTGTCAAAAAATGAACAAACAAAACCCTCCACCCCTGGCCAAAAACACCACCACAGAAGACAGAGACCACAAGAACGCGCCTGGCTTTCGCCCTTGGCCCTTGCTGCTCTCTAGCCTCTGGCTAACACCAGGGCCCGGGGCGGCAAACCCACCTCCCACCTCCGGGAAGCCTGGCTCAGGAATTCAGAGCAGGCGGGGCCACAGCAAGCAGGCTGGCACACAGTGCTGCTTGGTGGCCGTGACACGCGCTGGGGGCCCACAGTGGCCTGGCTGGCAAACTGCCTAACCCAAACACAGAAGGTCACAGAGAGACAAGAATGAGGGAAGAAAGGACCTAGTGCCCAGCCAGCGCGCCTCTAACGTAAAATGGGATAGAGGGCGCCCTGGCGCTGGTGAACCCTGAAGCCTGTGCTATGAGTGGCCGCGCTGCAAGGGCCGGGGAGGAGGCGGGCGTCTGTGCCTTGCTGGGACTCGTGCTTGGCCAGTCTCTCCTTGTAATCAAACCCCACAGCGGAGGAGTCCTGCCTCTCGGACTGAACACCAAATTTGCCTCCGAAACCAGTCTTATAGTCTGGAGAGCCACGGGAGACGGGGGAGAGCAAATCAAGAGAGAAACAGGTGGTTAGAATCACGCAGCACTGCGATGGCCAATGCATCGCTTCTGGAAAGCAACAGCCCTGTGGCAGAACTCAGGGCCTGAGGGTCCGACATTGGCCAAAAGGTTAAGGACAAACTTAAAAGTTGGCACACTTCAGCCTAGACCTGGAACAGGCTCAGAACTGAACTGTGTGGTCAATAGTTTGGTTAAAGCCACTCCATGGTTTTGAGGGTTGCCTCCAGGGTCCCACCCAGGCTGCCAACAGGAGAGTGATCTCTTTGTGAGGAGACAGCACAGGTAACAGCCCCACTCCCTGCTGCACTGGGAGGACAGCTGGGGACAGCTGCAGGGTTTTCACCCTTCTCAGACTGGCTCTACCTGGGGCAGGAATCCCATTCTGACAAGAAAACACTCCCAGTCAGAAAGGAAACTTGCTGGGGACTTGAGGGGTGGCTCGGCATGGGCAAAGCCTGAGCTCCAACAACGGCCCCTATAAATGAGAACCTGGGACTGGGAGGATGCTTGTTCTGGAGCTCAACCAGGGGAGAGAGGAGACGGCCCCCACAGCTGTGACAATGAGGCCCCGTGCTCTGTGAACACAAGGTCACCTGCCTCCCAGAGGCCACAGTCCTGGAATAGGGGACGGAGTGGGACATGACGGCTCTCTTAGCTAAAGGACTTCAGGAACTGGGGGAGGCACAGACAACATCACACAGTGAAAACAGGACAGGACTGTGACAGGGACAGCCCAGGAACACAGGGTGGGGCAGGAGCTTCCCAAAGGAGCCTGGGGGAGGGAGATGGGGGAGGTACCTCTTTGGGATTCATGCAGCTGCGGTTTCTCCTGGTGATCCCAGCCAAGGGCACATTTGTCTTGCCTGTCTGTCTGCACACCAAACTTTCCTCCAAACCCTTTCACATAGTCTACATGCACAACAGAAAGCCACAATCAGCATTACCACGCAGCCCAGGACTGGGAAGGAAGCGGGACGCGGAGACACCTGAGCTTCCCGGGGCAGAGCTGGGCGGGACTCTGGCTTCGGCCCATGCAGAGGCCTCCTGGGAGAGGCCCTACAACTGACCAGAGAGCACCAACGCATGCAGCTCTGGGGCACGGCGGTTTCATCACAGACAGGCGGACGAGCAACAGGGGCAACCTCCACTAGCAACACTGGGCTACAGAGACAAAGATGGGCCAGCAAAGGAGTTCCTGGGGAACTACGCTGCGGGGATGCACTGTCTTAAGGCTGACTGCTTAGGCCAGCGAGGGCGCGGCACCCACGGTAGAGCGGGGTGCACAACCTGCTCTTCCTCCTCAGTCGGGCTGCACCCCCCAAGCTAGGAGCCGGCCGGAGAAGGAGAAAACGCAGACACCTTTCTGAGACTCGTGCTTCTCCGTCTTGCCTTGATACTCAAAGCCCACGGCGCTCTTGTCCACCTTGTCCTTGTCGATCCCGTATTTGCCGCCAAAACCTCTAGAGTAATCTGAAGCAAGGAGACAGTCTTTAAAGGAGACAGCGCATCAGGGAAACGGGCTCCCCACCGCTCCTGAAGACCTGCGCCACTCCTGGGCTCCTTGTGGGGCAAGGAGAGCCAACTTCAGTAAGCTGCCCTGAACAACACAGGGGCACTTACATACGTGCAGGCAATACACTCACACACATAAATAAGAATAATAAAACTTTTTAAAAAAAAACAATTTTTTTTTTAAAGTCGGGGGCTGACATTAGATGGCACAGTTTTTTCCTAACATATGTAAGGCCTTCAGGCAAGACTGTGATGTACAGCGCAACAGAAGACCCCAACATCCATCCTCCTCGGACCTCCAAATGCACACATATGGCACACGTACAACCCCACACACACATGCACACAAGAGATTTAAAAGCTAGGCTGCGGTGCTCATACCTGTTAGTCCCAACACTCAGAGGCTAAGGCAGGAGGATTGCTTCAAGTTAGAAGCTACCGAGTGAGACTGTCCCCCACACACAACTGTCACATACTGATGGAAACGGAGCGGCTGGAACAGTCGGGATGACGTCACGCAATGACATCACCCGATTCATACTGGGGAGAAAATCCCTTCGACTCGCACACTCAAAGTTGAAGGGCAGAAAGAATGAAGGTGGTGCAGACACTGGAACAGAACCACAGCGCACTTGTCTGTGGAGGGATGGGGGGCAGGGGCTGGGCCCTCACCTTTCTGGGACTCGTGCTTCTCCGTCTTGCCCTGGTAATCGAAGCCTACGGCACTCTTGTCCACACGGTCAGCCTGCACACCGTATTTACCACCAAAGCCACTGGAATAGTCTAAGGAGACAGGATAGCAGCCAGCCTGAGGGTTACGGCTCCTGGGAGGTGTGGTGCAGATCTTAGGCATGTTTTACATTTTTTAGCTATTTTTATTTTACCGGTATGAGTGTTTTGCCTGCCTGTATGTAAGCGTACGTGTGTGCAATGCCCGTGGACGCCAGAAGGGGGCATAAGAGCCCCTGGAACTGGAGTTACAAACAGCTGTTAGCAGCCACGTGGGCGCTGGAAACCAAACCCAGGTCCTCTGCAAGAGCAGCCAGTGCTCTTAACCCCTGAGCCGTCTTTCAGCCCAAGGCACATACTTTAAATGCACAGATTATGTTTCCTATGAAACAGCACATTTGAACCCTGTGCAGAGGGAGCTCACATTGCTTCCCACTCTGCAGGCAACTATTTGCACTGACAGAAATGAAGATGGGCATGGTGACTCACACCAGGATCATCCAGTAAGTCAGAGACTGTGCTAGGAGGATTGCCAAGAGTTCAAGGCCAGGCTGGGCTACAGTCTGAGACCGTCTCAAATAAACAAAAGTATGGGGCTGATGGGACGACTGATCAGTAAAGACAGTTGCTGCTGAGCCTGACAACCTGCATTTGATCCCCAGAATCCACATGGTGGAAGGAGAGCACTGACTCCTGCACCCCATGCACACACAAAATAAATCAAAACGTTTAAATAAAGTAAATAAAAAAACAAAGTATGCTGGGGAGATGGCTCAGTGGTTAAGAGCACTGGATGCTCTTGCAGAGGACCTGGGTTCAAGTCTCAGCACCCATATGATGGCTAACAACTGTCTGTAACTCCAGTTCCAGGGGAATTCCAATGCCCTTTTCTGGCCTCCATAGGTATTACGTGACATGGGTGTACTTACATACATACAGGCAACACACTCATAAACACTAAATAAAAAAATATATATCTTTTTAAGTAGGGGGAAATAGAAGGTACTGCCTGCTTTAAAACCTCACTGATCATAGCTAGGCACGGTAGCACACACCTATGGTCCCAGTAGGAGGCTGAGGGAGAAAACTGTCAAGAGCTTGATGCCAGCCTGGGCTACATAGTGAGTTCCAGGCCAGCCTGGGCTTCAAAATGAGTTCCTGTCCCAAAAATAAACAAACAACAAAAATGACTGGCCACTGTCAGGTGAAAGGTAGAGTACCCCACAGCTGTCATCCCAGCACTCAGGAGGCTGAGGCAGCAGAAGTTCAAGGCCAGCCTGGGCTACATAAGTGAGTTTGAGGCCAGCCTAGGCTACATGAGAAGACAAAACCTCAGTAAGAGAGACCAAACCCACCCGCTAGGTATTCTGAGGGAGTGATCCGCCTTTTTCCACCACCCCACCCCGGGTTTGGTCACAGCTCTGCCCGAAGGGATATTCCTTGTTCAACAACATCAGGAGCTGCCAGATATAGGAAAGGGGCTTCTGCTGGGGCTGATAAGGAGAGGGTCTATCCTCATGACCAAACAGCTCTTCTAGAATGTCCTGGGCTTCAGCCATTCCAGGTTTCCTCCTATTTCACTTTCTAGGCAGAGATCTTGAAATGTGACACTCTGATGCTTTACTGCCCTGAGATGTTTTGTTACTCTGTAATATCTTGAAACTCTGTGATGTTTTCCACTCAAGGTAAAGTTCACCAGATGGGTCAATGAAGCACCTGGTTCAATCAGTCCAAGACAAGTGCAGAGCAAACGTGGCAGACAGCTGGACTGTTGACGATGTCAGATTGTTTAAAGTGCAATGACCGCCTGACCTAGCCCGATCAGCCTGGCCTAGCTATAGACGAGAAGGGGGCAGATGTCCTGACCCACACCTGAGATATCTGCTTTGTGAGCTATGATGACCACGTGAACTCAGGAAGTAATTCTCCTGAGATAGCATGGCCCCTCATGAAAAGGGGCCCAGGGCCCAGGGCCCAGGCATCAGTCATTAAGATGAGGTAAAAAGGCCTATGTAACCTCATCTGTACCAGGAGCCCAGAGCAGAAGGCAGAGACCTCCCTGCAGCAAAGCCTTACACCCTGCTAGTCAGCTTCAGGCCCCCGGGTCTCCACCCTCAAGACAGGCCAGCTGTGCCTGCTCCAGCCACCTCCGGCCACCCGCGCACAAGCCGTACCTTTCTGGGAGGCATGCTTCTCAGTCTTCCCCTGGTACTCGAAACCCACGGCAGACTACAGACAAAGGCAAAAGGAAACATTTGAAAAGCTGCTAACAGCCACTCCAAGCCCATAGCAACTCAGCACGAAGGAAACAGAGGTTTGGGTGTCGTGCTTCTCTGGGTGGGTGGGTGGGTGGGTGGACAGAAGGGTTTCGGGACATACAGAAGCCAGAAGAGGACAGGATGTGCTGCTCAGTCACTCTCCGCCTTCTATCTTTGAGACAGGGTTTCTCACCAAACCTGGAGCTCCACTTTTCAACTAGGCTGGCGGGCAATGCACCCCAGGGACCCTCCCTTCTCTCCACCCTGCACTAGAGTTACATGTGTGCTGGCCACGCCTGGCTTGTTATGTGGGTGCTGGGATCTGAACTCGGGTCCTCATGCTTAGGCAAGAGGCACTTTACCAACTGAGTCATCTCCCTAGCCCCATGAGTTGGCCATTTGTTTGTTTCTATAGGATCTCACGCTACTGGCCCAAGCTGACCTTGAACTTGTGGCAACCTTCCTGCCTCAGCCTCCCAGGTGCTAGGATTCCAGGTATGAGTCACTACTCCAGGCTCAAAGAATTTTTGGGGGGAGTCTTTCTGAGGCAAGTTCTCCCTGCAGCCCCAGCTGACCTAGAACTCACTATGTAGACAAGGCTGGCCTTGAACTCACAGAGATCCGCCTGTCTCTGCCTCCCAAGTGCTGGGACTAAAAGTGTGCACCACCACGCCTGCTACGTGTTAATTTTTTACCTTTGGTTTTCTAAGCCAAATAGAGATCAAATTATGGCCAAAGCCTTGATGTAAATTTACACAGCCCAGTGAGCTCCTGGCTTGAGTGAGCTATGCAGCCAGGGCTAGGCCACGGTACATGGGTCTCCCTACTGTCCCCCAAGCCCCCAGGCTGTCAGCACGTTTGGCTGATTTATTTCAGGCTGACATGCTGATCTGGAGCAAGTTTTGCTGAGAACATAACAGGAGCAGCCAGGCTGCCAGGAGACAGCAACCACACTCAATAGCCGCCTGCTTCCTGCACGGCCTCCGGCTGGGACTTACATCTACCCCACATCAGACAGGAAGGTCCCAACACCGCCAGTATGTCACAAAGCCAGAACGCACACACTGAGAGCAACCTGCACCTCCCCTGAAGGTCCCAAGCCGAGGGAGTGAGAGCCACCAGGCTCAGCCCAGCACAGGACTGTCCGACACTAGGGCCTCGGCGCTGCCTACCAGTCACATCTGTTCAGGGGACACAATGCAGAGGGTCCCAGCATCTACTATGAAGTCCAGGCACGTGACGAGGACACAGCCACAGGGGGAATTGCACAGCAGGCGCACCAAGACCACGTCTGCGTCACTGCTCGCCTTGGCCAGTGAGCTCCCTCTCAGAGCCCAGTGTCACAGGGGCCAGTGAGTTCTAGTCTAGATGCCCTCCCTCTGGTCTCATGGGGTCAGAGAGCATCTATGCATGTTGCACTGGCCCACGGGGCAGCCACAATAATAGCACAGGGGAGCCCCCCCAGTCACTCACCTGATCCACCCTGTCCATCTGGACACCAAACTTGCCTCCGAAGCCCCGGACTGAGTCGACCTGTGAGCAATGCTTGGAAAGTTTTGACTGGTACTCATGGCCAACAGCTGACTGGAACAGAGACCAAAGATACGGTGTTCTACAAGCCTGGCATGGCACGTGCCCCTCTCCAGCCCTGCTGCTGCACAAGGCTGTAAGATGGCCACCTCCGTCAGTTAGGTGGGCCTTTGCCCTTCATAAGCACACCCACCTGAGCACCTCCAGGGTGCCAACTCCAGGAACCACGACCCTGACCTGGTTGAGCTCCAGTGTGGGCTTCCACCACAAACCCCAGCTCTAGAGAACCCCAGATCAAAGCCCCTGACTGAGCCAGGTGTGGCAGTGCACCCCTTTAATCCCAGCATTCAGGAGGCAGAGGCAGAGGCAGGATCTCTATGAGACTGAAGCCAGCTTGGTCTGCATAGTGTATTCCAGGCCAGCTGGGGCTACAGGCAGAATCTGTCGCAAAAAAAAAACAAAAAAAAAAACCCTGAAGCAAGTAGGAGCCTGCAGTCAATGCTACATGCACCCGCACCAGCCATTCCCACATCCACATCAGCATCATCAACCCCCGCCAGAGGAGGACGCAGGTCCCAGGGACTTCTGTTCAACACCACACATCTACCAAGGGGCAAAGCAAGGTGCCAAACCAGACTGCTGGCAGATCCCTCTCAGCAAAGTGCTGTCTAGGACTCAGCCACTCTGACACCTCGGTGACACCACAGCCCACCTCAGCGGCTGGGTGGTCCCTCCTCACTGTGCAGAGTACCTGTGAAGCTATTCATCAACAAGGACAGAAGAGCATGGAGGGCATGGAGGGCCTGTGTGCCCCCAAGCCTGTCCTCTTGGCCCTCGTGGCCCCACAGTGAGAGCTGGCCCTGTGCACAGAGACCTCCCTCAGCTGGTTTGTTTTGACCTTGCCAACTGCTCGGTTTGACCTCGCACTCAGGCCTTGCTCAGCATATCACCAACCTCAGCGGCCCTCCATGTCTACTCTATAAAGAAAGTCTCAGCTGTGAGCCTGTCTTCTCCTGGGCTCAAGTGTAGTCAGGATGGCAGGCCACAAGCCATAGCCTGCGAAACCCCTGGTGGCACAGACAGCCACCCTCGGCCTTAAGATGCGCACACAGAAACTGTCAGCAGAGTGACAAGAGGCAGCCGCACCAGTGGGATTGTGATCAGAAAGAAGTTAAAGGTGGTGACCAGAGTGACAGCTGCCCAGCTTGAGCGAGCCCTGACCACCTTGAGGCACACGCCTTTAATCCCAGCACTTGGGTGCACAGGGGAGGCAGGACAGGATGCCACACCGCAGCCCACTGTCACCTGACCCCAGAAGGAGGGCACAGTATGAACAGACAGTATGTAACAGAACCCCAGTGCTTGAGCCCTAGATCCTCTCACAGATGCACTGCCCTGGATGAGCCTGCTGAGGATGTTGGCAGCGAGGACCCTTGTTCTTCAAGGGGACCTGGCTTTCTTTTCAGTCTCTGGAGAGAGCAAGTGAGAGCAGCTCGACCACCACCTCGACCATCCACCTCGACCACCGCCTCGACCACCACCTCGACCACCACCTTGACCATCCACCGCCACGTTTGGAAGCCAAGTTGTTTTGACAACAGGCTCATCTCTGGGGCACATGAGAGTCAAGAGATAACCATTCCTCAATACACTGGGCTGCAGAGGGAGGGCCACATGGAGAGACTGCGCCCAGACTAATGTCACCCAGTACTTGACAGCCACCAGCCGTCACCAGCTTGGGGGAGGGGTGTGGAGCTGTCTGTCTGTGAGCCACCTGGGTACATCAGCCACAGAAGCTTAGCTGTGCACACTCACACTCATGCCCCCAAGACGGACCAGGCACATGGGGAGGACGGTGAACTCCAAGAAAGCTAGACCAGAGGGGACCACCTTTCAGAATGATGGCATAGGGAGGTAACAGAAGTCACAGAGGTAAAGACGGGAGAAACGGGCTCACAGGGCACAGGAAAGGGCCTGGCTCAACGAGGCCTGAGCCACAGGCTTGACGGTAAGTGAGATTTGGGCCAATGGAGGCTCCGTCTACACAGTACAAAAGCCAAAAACCAAGGTTTGGGCATCAGCTCATCCACAGTAAGTCATCACCACTTCCCCAAACTTGATTTCCAAACCCACACGTGTGCACCCAACTCTCCTGACAGGTCTGTTTGCCATAGCGCTCTGTAGTCCTACGGGCATGGGCTTGGCATGGACTAGAGGTGTCTGCCTCTTTCTCTGTGGGATCTGTCTGGCTGTTGTTTGGAAAGCCTCCCAGGTGACTTGGAATGCACATAGGACTCAGCTGTGCATGTTGCCTACATCACAACCAGCACATTCATTTCCCAGCAACCTACACAGCAACACAGCCAACATCACGTCTTCCCTGCAGACAGCGTCCCATCAGACTGTCTCTGGGATATTCCTGACCATGGTTAGGGGGCCCCCAGGCCCACCAGTCTGCTGGTAGACAGAGGTGTGGCTCACTGTGTCCTTCCAAGCCCAGTACAGGTGCACCTGATCCGAGTGTGGAAGAGGTTAAGAGTCACCCTTGAAGTGAGCAGTCCTGCCTCATTCACGTCTATCCAGGACAGAGGCAACACTGTCCATCAGAACCACCCCATGCTGCTCAGATTTGGGAACTGACTTGTGGGACAATATAAAGCCAAGGTTGGCCTTCACAGAGATGATACACTTGTCCATTCAGCTTCTCTCTGGGAGAAACTAGCCAACCCAGAGCAACCTCTCAAGGCCCCTGAGAGTCCCTGAACGAGCCCCACACCCTTGTCTTACACCGAGAAGACACAGAGTGCTACCACAGGCGATGGCTTAGTCAGTGACTGCCCACGTTACCCGCACCATCAGAACCCAGCACTGCAGGTCCCCGGGGACTCAGCCACAGCACTGGACAGTGCATGCGTCCTCCCCAGCCTGATGGTAATGATGCTCTGAGTGGAGCTGCTCTCTGCAGCCATCAAATGCAGACAGATGTTAGCCAGGCAGGAGTGGACTCTGCATGTGTGAGGTAACCTCCCCCCATGGGCAGTGACCGGGACATCTTTGGGCAGGGTACTTCTGGGCTCTGCCCTGCTCACAGAGCACTGACCTCACTTCACTGTGGTGCTCTGTGGCTTCTTAGAGGAAATGAAGGCATTTGGAAATCACCATCTCTCCCCTACAGAGCCCTACACATTAGCCACTGGCCAACACCTCTGACAATTTCAAAAAGTGCTTCCAAAAACACTATCAAACTTTGTGTGTAAGTTCAGTCAACAGAAGACCCTGGGGAGAGCTCACCTCAAAAAACACACTTGATACCAAATCTCAGGAAAAGTGTGACAGAGCCAGTGCGTGGTGGTGCACGCCTTTAATCCCAGCACTTGGGAGGCAGAGGCAGGCGGGTCTCTGTGAGATAGAGGCTAGCCTGGTCTACACAGTGAGTTCCAGGCCAGCTGGGGCTCCAAAAGAAAAAGTATGAAGGACAGCTGCCCACACCATGTGGCCACAAGAGCCCGCAACCCAACCGGGGCAGCCACAGTCACTTACCTTGTCCATCCTGTCCTGCTCCACACCAAACTTCCCGCCATAGCCGTGGGAGGCTTTGGGTCCCGTCTCTAGCTCCTTCTCCTTGAGTGTCTGATGTTCTTGAAACACGTTCTCTCGCAGCTTGTGAATGCTGGGGGCAGAGAGGAAACGGGGTGAAACCAGGGGGTGGCTGCCAGCAGGACAGCGGGGTGGCAGGGGTAGCATCCTCGCATGGCTGCGGGGCAGCTGCCAGCAACTCTGTCTCTGCACGTCCAGGGAGGAACACTGATCTAATGTGCACCACAGACACCCCACAGGTCCCAAAGGCAGCAGCACCGAACGTGGACTCCGCTTGGAGAAAAGTAGATCAGGGGTTGGTGGAGCTCTGCAAACGCCACCCAGAAGCAGAGGGAAAACAAATCCAGCCAGGGTCCTCTTCCAGAACCCCGAGTCCAAGTCCATCGGAAGGGGATGGTGACACTAACACTGAGTTGCTTCTACTGCGGGGTTTTATGCCTTCTAAGGGGAAATGAAGCATTCAGAATCCACTGTCTAAAGGCCACATTTAGCCCTGCAGTCCCCTGTGACCTGCGCACTGCAGAGGCCAGGCAGGAGGAGCTCAAGTTCTAAACTGGCCAGGGATACACAGCAAGACCCTGTCTCAAAAAAAAAAACTCATCCAGGGGCTGGAGAGATGGCTCAGTGGTTAAGAACACTGGTTGTTCTTACAGAAGACCCAGGTTCAAATCCCAGCACCCACATGGCAGCTAACAACTGTCCATAACTCCAGTTCCCAGGAATCCGACAGCCCCTTCTGTCCTCCACGGGCATTGCACGACATGGGTGCGCTTACCTACATACAGGCAATGCATGCATACACATAAAATAAAAATAATAAATACAATACTAAAAAAAAAAAATCCAGCTGGGCATGGCGGCTTACACCTTTAATCCCAGCACTTCAGAGGCAGAGGCAGGCAGATCTCTGTGAGTTCAAGGCCAGCCTGGTCTACATAGTGAGTTCCAGGACAGCTGGGGCTACAGGGAGACCCTGTCTCAAAAAACACCAAAAAAAAACCCCATCCAATACAGGGGAGCAGATATGGGAGGGGTTCTAAATATGATCACAACACATTGTATGAATTCTCAAAAATTCAATGGAAAAGAAAAAAAACATATAGAAAAGTCATTTAATTTTAAAAGCAAGGATGGTCAAACAGATCAGAACCTTTTCATGGTCAAAATCTAACTGCCAGGAAGCAGTTGCCACAAAGGGACCCCCAGTCACGAAGGCCACCTTAGTACAGGGCAAAGCTGCCCAGCGGACACAGGGCTGTGGCTCTGCCAGAGCTAAGAAGGAATGTATACCAGGCCTGGGCCACCAGCCCTGATGAGCACCTCCCCAGCGACTGGGAAGGACCATGGGAAGCCTGCCTGGCCCCTCTAATCCCTCATCGTACCCTCCTCAACATGTTCTAGAGCCACAGGCTCATAGGGGCCTGGTGGCCCAGGTGTTGTGAGTTTAGGGCTCTGCTAACCACTCGGCCCAAGACTGTACCAGCTTCTCACTCACCAGCTTCCCAGACCCTCTCCCTAGGCCCCAGGCCCTTTGCTCCAACCATGACAACCACCACACGACACAACTTCATGGGGCTGAGCAAGCTAGGGAAAGCTCTATACCCAGAACTAAAAAGCCTCCGTGGGGCAGAAAGCCACAAGCCCAGGGGGCTGAGACCAGCCAGGGCAACACAGCCAGATGCCAGATCAGGAAGACAGATGGAAACAAGGGCCCTGTAAAGCTGGCGCAGACTCACCTTCCTCTGAGCACCTGACCGGCCGTTCCCGAGCAGACACTGCCACCAGGTGTTGGGGCCTTTCCCAAGTGCCAAAGCAGGTGTTGGTGGCCCTGCCCAACGACTTGAGAACAAAGGGTATGCGCTGACCCCAGCTGGGCCTAACACAGCACCCATGTGCGTCTGCAGAGGGCCTGTCACACTGGCTGGTGACAATGTGGCCTGTGCCGAGCTGGCATCTCAGGTGTCCAGGGACACAGCGCACTGTGCTCACCAGTGATTTCACTGACAAAACCCCAGTATGCAAACTCAGACACGCATGGGCTGTGAGCACGGAAGCTTCTCGAAATGGAGCTTAGGAGCTGCTGGGCATCCACCAGACAAGAAACGGAACTCATGAACTGCTGGGTGTTTACATGCACAGGCCTGACATGCCTGGCACAGAGCTGCCAGGGAGAGGCCCACCCTACTCCTTATGGAGTGGAAAGAGGGGACGGGGGGCATCAGGCACTTACTTGATGTGTTCCTGGTGCCCCGACCCCTGCACGGTTTTGGCACCCCATCTCTGTTCCTTTTCGCTAACGTCGTTCTGCAAAGAGAAGTAACTAGTACACCTCACACCCCGACTAGTAACCTGTGCCCTCACTAGTACACCTCACACCCTCACTAGTACACCTCACACCCTGACTAGTAACCTGTGCCCTCACTAGTACACCTCACACCCTCACTAGTACACCTCACACCCTGACTAGTAACCCTGTGCCCTCACTAGTACACCTCACACCCTCACTAGTACACCTCACACCCTGACTAGTAACCCTGTGCCCTCACTAGTACACCTCACACCCTCACTAGTACACCTCACACCCTGACTAGTAACCCTGTGCCCTCACTAGTACACCTCACACCCTCACTAGTACACCTCACACCCTGACTAGTAACCTGTGCCCTCACTAGTACACCTCACACCCTCACTAGTACACCTCACACCCTGACTAGTAACCTGTGCCCTCACTAGTACACCTCACACCCTCACTAGTACACCTCACACCCTGACTAGTAACCTGTGCCCTCACTAGTACACCTCACACCCTCACTAGTACACCTCACACCCTGACTAGTAACCTGTGCCCTCACTAGTACACCTCACACCCTCACTAGTACACCTCACACCCTGACTAGTAACCCTGTGCCCTAACTAGTATTCCTCACACCCTGACTAGTAACCCTGTGCCCTAACTAGCCCAACCTGCACCCATGCCCTCCCTGGTTAGGGAACAGGTGCACACGCCCAGGAAATCAGGGGCAGGCTGGTGACTCCTACCACAAAATCAGGGTCGGTCTCCCAGTCATCGGCTGTGCCGTCATCCTGGGTGATGGACACGGCGTGGCCTGCCGACGCCTTCCACATCTGCAAAAGCAGCACCAACATTACTGACCCAAACTTCCTAGAGGCCACCGAGGGCAGTCACAACCCTGCATCTGTGCTGTCACTGAACTCAAAGGACACCTGCAGGAGGCAAAGCTTAACACTGAGAGTCTCGGGGAAGGCAGAGGCGGAGGCGGGCAGGTCTCTGTGAGTCCAAGGCCAGCCTGGTCTCCATAGAGAATTCCAGGCCAGTGAGAGCCTGTCTCAAAAAAGAAGAATCTGGACAGCAGGACAGGGCTCGGCCGTCTGGTGCCTCTTAAGTGCAAAGGCCTGAGTTTGATCCTGAGCATCCGTGTGAAAGAATCTGGGCACGGAGGGACACAGCTGTAATCCCAGCACTGGGGAGACAGAGGCCCACGGCCAGGCCAGTGGCCAGACTAGTGCACTTGGCGAGTTCCAGGCCAGTGAGAGCCGCTATAAACAAGGTGGGCAGCGCCTGAGGGAGGACAGCTGAGTTCACCTTCTGGTCTCTACACGCACACGCACACACATGCACACCCATGCAGGGCATCCCAGCCCTACACTGTTTTCAGATGGCATCAGAAATGTGCCGGGGGTGCTTTCAGGCTTCAGCGCAGGGAGTGGATTGTGGTGGCTCAACTCCTGTAATCAGGGCACTAGAGAAGATGCCACAAGTTTGAGGCCAGCCTAGGCTACAGCTCCAAATCAACAGCTGCAAAGTGGGGTGTGTATATCCTCCATTGGTGATGACCTTGCCCTGGGGCTGCCACCTCCCACCACGCAGGACAGCACCACTGGGGTTGCCCCACACTGGGAGACACTAAACGTCACCCCTGGCAAACTGCACACCATATTTATCTTATCACAATTAAAGAAAGACGCTCATCTTGACCTCACCTACTTCCTGGACATATATGACGGCTGTCATAAAGGATGACTGTCTTAACTCAGGCTCTTCAGTAGCTGTTTCAAGCAGCTTAGGTTGCTGCGCTGCTGTCAGAGGAGACACAGAGCATACTGCGCCCACCACGTTAGAGGCTCCGGTGGGACGTCAACCCTCAGGGCAAGAATTTTCCAACTATGACCTGCTTTTGGCAGGCAGGATTTTATTTTTTAATTTTTTTTCATTCTTTTGTGTGTGTATATGTTTTCATGTGTGTGAGCACCTATGTGTACATACATGTGGAGGCTTGAGGTTGATGTCAGGATCATCCTCCATCGCTCTTCCACCTTATTCATTGAGGCAGCGTGTATGTATGTGCACCACATGCATGCAGGAGGCCTTGAAGGCCAAGAGAGGGCATTGATCCCCTGGAAGTGGAGTTATAGACGGTTGTTAGCCGCCAATGGAGTGCTGGGAATCGAACCCAGGTCCTCTGCAAGAGCAGCCAGTGCTCTTAACTGCTGAGCCAGCCCTTGACAGCATTTTAAAGAGGATGATTTTAAAAGCATGACCAGGCAATCTGGTCCTTGATCCCGGGTGCACAGGTGAAGGCCCACTCAGGAATGTGAAGGGCTGTGTCCACAGTCCCAAGCCAGCCCCAGAATGTTCTAGATGGGGAGCTGCCTGTGGGCAGAACATGACCGCTGTGGCTTCACCCTGAGGTGGGGCCTGTAGGGGCAGTGGACACAGCCCTGTGCTACTACTTTTCAGATTCACCAAGGCAAGACCAAAGCAGGAAGCTAGCCAGCCTTTCTGGAAGCTTCTCTCTAAGTCAGCTTCCCCACGGCTGGGTGCACACATCACTTCTGCAACCCGCGCCGGCAGATGTGCTCACCTCCCCAACCCCCGACCTGCCATTCCTCATTTCCACAGCTTTCCGCAGCCCCCTCCCCTTTCCTTCCAGCCTCACTGCGCTGCCCAAGCTGGCCTTGAACTCCTGGACTCGAGCACCACTTCAATCTGCCAGGTCAACAGGGACACGAGTCCAGCAGCCTCTCCTCTCTAAGTCACAGGCAACACTGGATGGAAACTTGGGTGGGTTTTGTTTTTTCATTTTTGGTCTTTTGAGATGGTCTCCCTGTAGCCCCAGCTGTCCTGGAACTCACTATGTAGACCAGGCTGGCCTCAGTCTCACAGAGATCCACCTGCCTCTGGCTCTCAAGTGCTAGGACTAAAGGCATGCGCCACCACACCCAATCAAAACTGAAGTTTTAAAATATGAAAAAAATATTTTTGGTACTGGGGATTAAGTCTAGGGCATGCTGGGCAAACTCTCCTCTGCTAAGCCCTAGCATACCCCCAGCCCCATCTGCACTTTGTAGTGTGGAGACACAGCCTCATTATGCTGCCCAGGAAGGCCTTGAACTCTTACATGGTTCAAGCGGGACGTGGACGTACAGTTTTCTTGCCTTAATCTCCCAAGTGCTGCGATAACAGGCCCTGCACCTCCAGGCCCTGCAAGAAATTTGAGTGTGTGTGTCTGTGTGTCTGCGTGTGTCTGTGTGGTATATGCATGTACATGTATCCGTGTGTGTGTGCATGGAGCCTAGAGGCCTGTGTCAGTTCTTCTATAGGGGGAAGAGCCACAGCACACAAGGGACAAGTTCCGCAATCAAATCTTCTTCCACATAGGTCCCAGGGACCGAACTCAGCCCTGGCACCAGGCATTTTCAACATCTCTCCAGTCCTCCCTCTCATTCAGTGGAGACAGGGGCTCTCCACTGAACCCAGAGTTTACCAACTAGCTAGACCGGCCAGCCAGCAAAATCCAGGGCTTTTACACAGGTGCTAGGGTTTCCAACCCAAGGACTTAGGCTGGCATGGCAAACCTTTTACCCTCCGAGCCATCTCCCCAGTCCCCAGCCTGAGATTTCTGTGAAAAGATCATTGTCCCCTTCGGCCCCTGCACGCCCAGAAAGCAAGCCCTGTCCCTACGCAGCTCCACCCATGCCTGATCCAGAGCAATAATGGAGGGTGCACAAACCTCTCTCTCCTGCTGGGAAAGCAGCTCACAGAAGTTTATCCAGATCCCGGGAATCCAGCGAGGGCTGCGTGGGCATCTGTGGATGATCTGTCTGCAAGAAGATTAAAATGAGAGGCTCAGACAGGTGCTTGGCGAATCCACACAGGTGGATCTTTTAGAATACCTTAGAAACCCTCCCAGACACACAGGGTATGTGAAGACCCTTGAAGGGGGGGTAGTACTCAAAGAGTTCAACACAGAAGACCCAGAGAATGAAGAGGAGTCAGAGACCCACAGTCACCTGACACTTCTCTAAACGCAACCAGAGATCCCAGCCTAGACTGAGTGCACACTGTAAGCCTGAGACTTTTCCATCTCTCTCCTCAATTCCAACTAATGAAGATGGACGGGACGAAACCCTATCCCCATGAGTATTTACAAGTAGTAAGAAAAGCCAGCCGTTGCAGCACCCTCCGGCAACTCAGCACTCAGAGCCTATACCAGGAGCGTAAGCGATCCAGGCTAGCCCCAACCACATAAGGAGACCCTGTCTCAAAAAGCCAGCATGGTGAGGCAGGCACAGCTGTGCACAACTGTCACGCCAGCAATAGAAAGGCAGAAGGGTCATCTTTGGCCAGCCTGGGCTACACGAGCCATCTCAAAACAAACAAGCTGAACCACAGGTGGTCCTCTAGTTTGGCTCAGACCTGCTGCCCCTCTGCACTCAGCAAAATACTCATCAGCACCAGGGAGGTGGCTCAGTGGGGAAAAGCGCTGGCCACACAAGCCTGACGCCCTGAGTTTGATCCCAGGAACCCAGGCACCCATGTATGCACACACACACACATGCACACGCAACACCTACACACAATAATAATAAAACTCATCTTTTCTGAAAATAACTTAAAAAAAACCCTATTCATCAAAGAGGGGGACACTAGAAAGATGGCTCAGTGTTTAAGAGCACTGGCTGCTCTTACAGAGGACCTGGATTCAGTTCCCAGCACCCACATGACCACTAACAACTATCTGTAACTCCAGTTCCAGGAAATCCTACGCCCTCTTCTGACCTCCATAGGCATTGCATGAACGGGTATACTTACATGCAGGCAAAACACTCATATACATCAAATTTAAAAAAATCAATAAAGCTGGGCGTGGTGGCGCACGCCTGTAGTACCAGCACTTGGGAGGCAGAAGCAGGTGGTTCTCCATGAGTTCAAGGCCAGCCTGGTCTACATAGCGAGTTCCAGGCCAGCTGGGGCTACAGGGAAACCTTGATTCAAAAAAGAAAAAGAAATAGACAGGAGAGAGAGAGAGAGAGAGAGAGAGAGAGAGAGAGAGAGAGAGAGAGAGACTCTCTGCAACCCAGCCTGGTAGTGTGTACCATAGCCCATAATCCCAACACTCAGAGGCTGAGGCAGGAGGATTGCTGCAAGTTCAGGCCTGCTTGATCTACACAGCGAGTTCCAGGCTAGACAAGGCTACAGAGATTATGTCTCAAATGTGCCCTGCTCATCCCCAAAAGAAAGGAGCTCCAGCTCTGCTGTCCAGCCTGGCCCAGAACGCCTTGGGCTCTTTGTGCCTCAGTTTCTCCCAGCTGCTGGATCTCAGGCACACTCAAATCCAGGGTTTCTCTCCAAGGTGATAAAATTGTTCTAAAACTGCTTGTGGCTGACAGTTGCATGACTCTGAATGAACCAACAACCACTGAACTGCACCCTTCAGATGAGTAGGTAGTAATGGAAATTAGATTTCGGTAAGGCAGAGACAGAAACAGTTCAAAGGAAAGAGAAGGCTCCCTTCCAGCAGGGTTAGTAGGAAGCCTCTGCCTGCAGAGGCCAGGCCCAAAAACAGACCACACGGAGAGAAAGTCACGCAGCCCTTCGTAGCCAGCCAAAAGCTGACTCAGAGAGGGCCGGCTCACAGGATGGCGCCACGCACCCATCCTCAATCCTCAGCCCTTTATCCTCACTCACCCCCAATCCTCAGCTCAGTACCCACAGCACAAGAGAGCACAGAAGGCAACAAGGACCGCCGCTGCCAGGCCAGAGCAAGAGCGGGCTGGCAGGCCCACAGCACGGTGCGTGCACAGGACAGAAGTAGGCAGCCAAGGTGGTCTGGGCACCAGGAAGATGCCCGTGCCACCAGGTGTCTTTTGAGCACTGCAGACTGATAGGCCAAAGTTCTGAAGGGACAATTACATTCACTGCCATTTATAAGGTGTCTAAGGCCCCAGGAATGCCTCCATTGAAGGTCAGCTTTAGAGTTGGGGCTGGAGCTCTGGGCTAGAACACTTGCTGCAGGGAAAGAAGTTTGCAGTTGGTTTTTTTTGGGGGGGGAGAGAGTGGGGTTAGTGGGGTCTGGCTTCCAGTTACTGGGGATGTAGTTTCAAAACCAGCTCAAACCCAGCATTTATCCTCCCATGTCTCAAGGTCCCACTTAAAGCTGCTTCCTCATCCCTGGAATTTCTGATGAAAATCTCACCAACCAGAGCCGGACCCAGTGTTGACTCAGGGCCTGAGATAGTGACTCACTCTGGGTGAGCCACTGGTACAGATCCACAGCCTGCCTGGCCTAGGGTAGACAGGGAAGGGAGGGGGAAGCTGTATGTACTGGCCGTAAGGGCCTATTGGGTTCTGCCCCTGTCAAGGCCAGGTGTAGCCAGGTCAAATGGCTGGTGCTGCTGGGCCAAGGCCTCTGCTTCACTGGGAAAAAAGTAGAATTCTTCCCCAGTAGCCGGAGGACACAGAGACACACCTAAAGGACCAGGAAGGCAACAGAACAGGCCTCAGCGCCTAGGCAGGGAGCGTACACACCCACAAGAGGCCTCTGGATTCCAGTTCCCAGCTCCAGGCTGCATCAGCCAGATTGATTTCCATTGACCCCATTACAAATCTCCCTCAGGCCCAAAGGCCCATCCCATGCTGGCCTCCCAGGCCCCCAGCCCCCCAGTCTTCATCCTTCTAGGGCCCGGACTCTCCAAGATCACCAGCTTCCCCTAGGTCCTGGGCTCTGGGTCTTCCCAGACCCTGCATTCTGTCCCCCAACTAGGGCTCTGACCCAGAACACCCCAGGGGGGCGCCCTCAACCCCAGAGCTGACCTTCAGGTCCAGGGATCCTCCCCCTAGAGCCCCACCCCTTCCTTTAGGCCTGAGATTCCAGGGCCTGCGTCCCGGCCCCGCCCCCTCGAGGCCCAGGGTCCCGCACACCTCACTTCGGCACCTCTGGCCAAGCCACTCCAATGTCACCCAGACCCGCACCCCGAACCTGCGATCCCGGCCCTGATCCCCCCACTCCGACACAGGCCCTTGCACCCCATCCCTGGATCCAGCCCTGCACCCTAGAGCCCCGACTCCCCAATCCCGGCCCCGCAGCTCCCATCCAGGTCCTGCAGCCCGCACCCTCCATCCCGGCCGTGCACCCCAGACCCCAATCCTGGCCCTGCACCCCGATCAAGGACCCGCACTCCCATCCGGGACACGCACCCCGAGGACCTGCGCCCCCGATCCGGGCCCTGTTCTTGATCCCCGGATCCCGACCCTGCACCCCGCACCCCCATCCAAGCCCGGCACCCTCAACCCGGTCCCGCACCTCCGATCCAGATCCTGGACCCCATCCGGACCCCGCACCCCGATCCCGGGCTCTGCACCCGCATCCCGGCCTCGTACCCCAGATCCAGATCCTGCACCCCCCCATCCAGGTCCTGAACTCCCATTACAGACCTGCGCCCCCAATCCTGCCCCTCTTTTTTTTCATCCCCCCCGCACTCACCGGCGCCCCCCCGGCCTGTGCACCTCCAGGTCCGCCTGGCTCCCGCCGCGCCCGCTGCGCCCAGCGCCCTCTCACTTCCGGTTCCGCGGGGGCGGGGCCGCATCCGGGGCCGCGCGAGACCCCGCCCCTTCCAGGACACCCCGCCCCCGCCGGGCCTGGAGCGCCAGGAGGACCCGGAGCTGTGCTGGGCTGAGCTGGGCTGCGCAGGGGAAGGGTCACCGAGCCCACGAGACAGCACCGGATCCTGGGGGCTGTGACGCCAGTCAGTGCAGCGAGCGAGCTTCGAAACCAGCCACCACCTGTCAGCCGTCCATCTCGCCACCATCCGCTCATCTGCCGTCCCCTCCACTCACCATCAACCCTCCATCTACCATCCACCGGTCAGTCCTGCCCACAACCTACCCGTCCATCCGAGAACTCACCTGTGAACCATCCACCTGTCTGTCCCTCTGTCCATCTACCCATCCACCTGTCCTACTTAGCATTAACTACCAGCAGCCTAGAATCGTGTCCAGACTCAACTATATTGTGTGTCTCACACTGGTCTGCAGACACGTCTTGTAGAGATAGTATTGGTTGTCTTGACACAATAGTGTCCAGCCCAGGTGGACAGCACCACAGAGGTGCTGATCTCTGTCAGATCCTAAGCTGCATAAAAAGGAAAGCTTGGGGCTGGAGAGGTGGCTCAGCAGGTTAACAGCACTGGCTGCTCTTGCAGAGGACCCTTGTTTGATTCCCAGCACCCACATAACGTCTAATAACCATCCATAACTCCATTTCCAGAGGATCCAGTGCCCTCTTCTGACCCCCATGGGCACTGTATAACAAGGGTGCACTTATGCATTCATACACATAAAATTAAAAAAAATCATTTTTTCAAAAGAAAGCTAGCCAATATTAGCACAGGTGTGGTGGTGCACGCCTTTAATCCCAGCACTCTGGTGCCAGAGGCAGGCAGATCTCTGGGAGATCAAGGCCAGCCTGGTCTACATAGTGAGTTCCAGGCCAGCTGGGGCTACAGGGAGACCCTGTCTCAAAAAACAAAGCAAACAACAAAGAAAAACCAGCCAAGTGTGAGGCTGTGAGTGAACCAGAGAGAGCCAGCAAGCAGTCCCAGTTCCCCGTGGTCCCTGTCTGCACGCTCCTGCCCTGACTTCCCTCACTGATAGACCATGACCCAGAACTCTAAGCCAGATAAACCCTTTCCTCCCCTAAGCTGCTTTTGGTCAGAGCGTTTTATCACAGCAACAGAAAGCTAACTAGAACACCCTCCATCCACACACTCCGCCCATCCATCCCTCAGTTTATCTGCCTACCCATCTGCTCACCCATCCACTCATCTGTCAGCCATCCATACCCCAACCCACCATCAACCAATCATAGATTACCTACCCATATACCCCTCTATCCATCCACCCATCTACCCAACTGTCAACCATGCACCCTCCAAACCCCCATCCATCCATCCGTGCACCCACCCATCTATCCCTGCATCCACTATCCATCTCTCAGTCCATCTATTTACCCACCCACTCACCTGTCAACCACCAATATGCTTATCTATTTTCTTTCCATCCATCACATATCCATCTACCCACCTGTAAACCATCCATCCATCTACACCTATGTCTGTCCCACCAGAGCAGTCCAGGTATGTGTCAGAACACGGTCCTTCAGGGACCTTGTGGCCTGGAAGGAGCTGGGCACTAAATTTAATGAGATACAGAATTAGGAAGCAAGCTAAATTTAGGAAGAAGTCAAAGGTGTTCTGGAATTCTGGGGACAAAGAACTTAAACATTTCTGGATTGATAAGAGGTTTCTTCCTTTCAGCAACTGACTTTTCAGCCAAGATCTGAAGTCAGTAACTGGAGAGATGGCTCAGTGGGCAAGGGCATTGTCTACTCTGGCAGAGGACCCAGCTAATAACTATCTGTAATTTCAGTTCCAGGGGACTGATGCCCTACATGCAGGCAAAATATTTATACACACAAAATAAAAATGAATTCTTTTTAAAAACCTGAAGACTAACAGGAGTAAACAAAATCAGAAGGAAGGAATGTTCCAGGTGGAGCCACAACTTAGGCAAATGCCCTGAGGCAGGAACTTTTGGCGGCCTGGAGCCCTGGAGGAGGCTGGACATGGGGCAGGTGCACAAGGCAGCACGTCTGCAAAGTTCTGAGACTGGATGGGTCACACAGAGGTTGCAGAAGTCAACCATGTCCTTGGTCTGTATTCTCCAGGAAACAGGAAGCAAATCAGGCCAAGGTCAGAGAGGGCTCTGTTTGCTCTGTGACAGCAAGTCACTGGCTGCTGTGTAGGGGACAGACAAGAGGAGGACAGGGCTGGGAGCCGAACGCAACTAATGCCAGCAAGCGTGGGAGCTGGGGGAAGGGGGTCGATTCGAGAGTGATTAGAAAGCGATCAGCTGGGTGTGGGGTGCACACCTGGGATACCAGCGCTTGAGACGCTGAGGCTGGAGATCAGGAGGACATCAGGGTGACATAACGATGGAGGAGGGGTCACAGAGGGGAGGCTGGGGCCATAGCTCCATGGTGCAGTGCCTGCCTAGCATGCCCACAGCCCCAAGTACCAACACTGGCCCCAGAAGGGGAAAAATAAGCTGAACTGTCAGATTTGAGGGTACAATGCGGGGAGGGGAAAGAAATGTTCGGTATCAAAAAGGACTTTTTATGTGTGTGCATGTTCGTGTGTGTGTGTGTGTGTGTGTGTGTCCATGTGTGAGCATGCACGTGGAGGTCAGAGGATGGTCTAACTGGCCTGCAGATCATCAATTAGGCTAGGCTGACCGGCCAGCAAGCCGCAGGGATCCTCTTGTCTCTGCCTCCCTTGTGCTTGGATTACAAGCATGTAACATCACACACAGCATTTGTACCTTTGCTCTGGGAGTCAAAACTCAGGTTGTCATGCTTGTACAGTACACACTAATTGAGCCATCTCCCCAGTGCTTGGGGGCGGTGGGGAATATATATAATTTTTAAGTTTATTTTTATTTTATGTGTATGTTTTGTCCACATGTATGGAAGTGTACCACAGGCATGCAAAGTCCATGGCAGCCAGAGAGGGCCTTGGATACTCTGGAACTGGAGTTACTTATGGTTGTTAGCTGCCATGTGGGTGCTGGGAACTGGGTCCTTTGCAAAAGCAGCCAGTGCTCTTAACTGCTGAGCCATCTCTCTAGCCCCAAGATATATTTTTTAGAATGTCTGGTTATTTCATGTGTATGAGTGTATTGCCTGCATGTATGGAAGTGCACTCATGTGGTGCAATGCTTGCAGAGGTCAGAAGAGGGCATTGGATCCCCTGGAACTAGAATTAAGGAAAGTTGTAAGCCTCCATGTGGGTGCTGGGAACCGAACCCAGGTCCTCTGCAAGAGCAGCCAGTGCTCTTAACTGCTGAGCATCTCTCCAGCCTCGAGTTTTTTTTTTTTTTTTTTAAGAAAAAATAAAATCAAGAGCTCATATGTTTTGTTTATAAAATTACAAGCTGTTTTTTTATACTGAGCACCCTGGGCCCAGCTAAAATTGAACAGTCAGTCAAGTCTTAAGCCAGATCTTCATCTGAGCTGGGCAGTGTCACTGTACCAAGGCAGGAGGATGGCTTCAGCCTGGACAACTCGGAGGCAGAGGCAGGCAAATCTCTGATCCAAGTCACCCTGGTCCGCACAGCAGGTTCCAGGCCAGCTGGGGCCACAGGAGACCCTGTCTCAAACAAACAACATAAGATGTTGATTTTCCCTTCTGAGAAAAGGTGATGGCCAAAGGTGATGGCCTAACAGTCCATCTTCACGCCCCATAGAGAGGGAGTCCAGAACTGCGGAGATGGGTCAGCATGTAAAGGAGCTTGCCACCAAGACTGACGACTTGAGTTCAATCCCCAGGATGCCCATGGTGGAAGGAGAGAATAGACCCCTGCAAGCTGTCCACTGATCTCCACATAACCCCATTCACACACCCATGCACACACACATGTTCATACACAGCAACGTGCACACACATGCACAGATGCTTATGCACACAGATACTCATGCAGACACACATGCACAGGCGCACACACACCTCCACATATAGGCATGCACACACACGGACATACATGCACGTACGTGCACACGTGTGTTTGTACACACTAGCATGTGCACACACATGCACAGATGCTCATGCACACAGGTACTCATGCACAGATACACATGCGTACACATGTACACACAGACACACAGGTGCACACATGCCTACACACATAGGTGTGCACACACGCACAGACACACATATGCACACACATTTGTGCACACTAGCATATGCACATACATGCACTGATGTTCATGCACACACATGTACACATGTGTACGCACATTTGCACAGGCACATACATGCCTGTACACATAGGCATGCGGCACACACGCACACATTCATGCACACACGAGGACACACATGCGCACACACACGTGCGCGAACACACACATGCCACATGCACACACACACGCACAGATCCTCATAAACATGCACGCACACATAACCTGCACAGGCACACACACACAGGTATGCACGCACACTCATGCACATGCACACACACGTGCATTTAATAGCTATGTGCACTGGTGCCTCAGTCCTGTTCTGACCCTCACCCCCTATGAAGTGAGATGCGCAGTCAGCTTCCTGTCCTGGTCTCTTCTCCAGCCCGTCTCTGTCTGGGGTACAGCACAGTAGGAAAAGGCCTGCCATACATAAGGCCCTGGGTTCAATCCCAGCACCTCAAAAACAACCCAGCAAACAAGCAACCGTAGCCCTTCCCTCCACCTAACAGCACACACACCGCTTTAGGGGGTGAAGTGTGCCTCTTTCTAGACTCACAAAACAAAGCTAATTAAAGGCTGTAAAGCACAGTGTGCAATTCAGTCTAATGATTCACAAAAGCCAGAGGTCAGGACCGAAAGACAGTGTCTGGATCTGGCAGGATCACTGCACTCATGAACCCACAGCAGCTGTGGCTGCCTGCATAAGACCTGCACACAACCAAGCCAGTGAGCATTCCAGCAGGGACGGGAGGGGGTCATGAGCCCCCTCTCTAACTGAGGAGTTATTGACAGGCCTTCCAGGGGAGGGACAGTCAGTTTTCTTTTGGTCTTTTCCAGACAGGGTCTGCCTGTAGCCCCAGCTGACCTGGAACTCGCTATGTAGACCAGGCTGGCCTCAATCTTACAGAGATTCCCCTGCCTCTGCCTCCCAAGTGCCGAGATTAAAGGCGTGCACTACCACGCCTGGCTTAAGAGATAGTTTTTTTTAAGGGTATAGCCTTGGTAGGTTGACCACACTGGAGTGGAGGGCCACACACCCAGGATAAATGGACAGCACAAATTGGACTCTGAGTTACTAAAAAAACAACATGAAGTTGGGAAAGAGTGGATTTGGGAGATGTCAGGGGGAGTCGGGGATGGGTACCATCAAAATGCATTGTATGCATGTGTGAAATTTTCAGAGTAAAAATACTATATACAATACATGCTCTATATCAGATATAATGCATATATATCACAGATATTACACATGTATATCATATACATAGATACATTATATATTGTCGTGATATATGTAACATACACAGTATATATCTTGTACCTGATACATATTTTAGCTGACATATAATGCATGATATATATTGATATGTATCTATATTATATGATATCAGGATGCAAACAGATTCGAAATAGGGAGAAAAGTAAAACAAAAAACTTTTAAAAATATACAAAATAGGGGCTGGAGAGATGCTCAGCGGTTAAGAGCACTGGCTGCTCCTGCAGATAACCCGGGTTCGGTTCCCAGCACCCACGTGGTGGCTAACCACCATCCATAACTCCAGTTCCAGGGGAATCTGACACCCTCTTCTGACTCTGCAGGCCTTGCATGACATGAGTGCACTTACACACGTGTAGGCAATACACTCATGCACAAAAAATAAAGCTTTTTAAATTACAAAATAAACATGCCAAAGGTCTTATGTCTGTGTGTATGCCTGTGTATTTATGTGTGTGCAGGTGTGCACATGGGTATGGAGGAGTCAGCTTCAGATTTCATTCCTCTGGAGCATCTATTGGGACTGTCACTGAACCTGGTGCTCCCAAATTAGGCAAGGCTGGCTGGCCAGTGAGCCCCAGAGATCTGCCTTGAACTCAGTTCCTCATGCTCATCCAGCCAACACTTTACTGATTGAGCCATCGCCTGGCCACAAATATTTAACTATGTAATGAATACAGCAATAAGACATTTCAACTGTTCAAAGGAGAAGTGGAAAGAATGCTGGATTTGCAGACCCTGATCAGCCCACAGGGCCAGAGCGGTTTGCATCCTGCCAGGCACAGTGGCCAGGTCAGGGAAATCAGGAAGGAGCCTGGAACGTGGACACCTAGAGAGTCCATGCAGAGAGGTCCCAATGGCTCTGAAGGAGTCAGCTCTGGCAGTCACCTGGCCCTGAGCCTAGTGACACTATTAGCTTGGCCCCAGAACTCTCAGTCAGTCTGTGCTCTTATGGTGCAGAGTTAAGCCAGGTGTGGTGGTACATGTCTGTGATCCCCAGTCCTGGGAAGACTGAGGCAGGAGCATCAACAGTGCTAGGCCAGCCTGGGCTACACAGCCAGGTGCTGGTTCAAAAACAAACATGGAAATGCTGGGATTGTTGTGACTTGTTACCAGGGGCAGGAGGAGGCCGGAGTATGGATATTGCCATCCCAGCTCACCAGATGCACATAGGGCACCTTAAGGTCAAGCCATCTGCCCTCTCAGATTCCAAGCTGATGCAAGGGAACCTGGGAAGGCTGGGTCAATCTCCTGCTGGAAACCCAACCAAGACTTTGGGGTTTTTTTTTGTTGTTGTTGGTTTTGTTTTTTAAATAAAAAAGAAAACATGGTCTCACTATGCAACCCTGGCTGGCCTGGAACTTGCTATGTAGATTAGGTTGTCCTCAAACTCAACAGGGATCCACCTGCCTTTGCCTCCCAAGTGCTGGGACTAAAGGTGTGCGCCACCATACCCAAGCCAGTTGTGGTAGCTGTAAACCTAGCACCCCATAGGAGGCTAAAGCAGGAGAGTTGCCAAGGGTTCAAGGTTGCCTGGAGTACAGAGCAAAACCCTATCTCAAAACAAACTACGAGGCACAGAGGCTCACATCGTAATCCCAGAAGGCAGAGGCAGGCAGACCCTGAGCACTGGAGGCCAGTCAGGGTTACAAAGTGAGCCCCTGTTTTCAAAACAAAGCAAGAAATGAACAAGGAGCCTGGAGGGATGGCTCGGGTGAGTGCTTGGTGCTCTTGCAGAGGACCACAGTTCAGTTCCTAGCACCCACATAGGGAGGCTCATAACTATCTGTAAGTCCACCCCAGGGAATCCAACACCCTCTCTGACCTCTACAGGCACCTGAACACAAAATGTGTACACACACACACACACACACACACACACACACACACACACACACACACACACACACACAGAAATGGAAACAAACTTTAAAAATATTTTATGTGTATGAGTGTATTGCCTGCATGTATCAGTGCACCCATGTTGCGCAATGCCACGGAGGTCAGAAGAGGGCTTTGGATTCCCCTGGAACTGGAGTTAAGGATGGTTCGTGGCTGCCATGTGGGTGTTGGGAATCGAACCCGGGTACTCTGCTAGAGCAGCCAATGCTCTTAACCGCTGAGCCATCTCTCCAGCCCGTGTTTTCTTTTTAAAAATTATTTTATTACTTATGTGTATGAATGCATTGCCTGCATGTATGTGAGTGCACCCGTCATGTAATGCTGTGGAGGTCAGAAGAGGGCAAAAATAAATTTTCAGTAAAACAGATCAAACCAACTTTGCAAGTGTGGGTGGAACCTGGACCTGAGAAAACCCTTACGGTATGTACCTCAAACGTGCATGCTGGGAACAGGCTGAGAGAGTTGTGAGTAGTTTCAACACTGGCAGAGCCACCTGGAAAGTTGTTTGATTTTGATTATTATTATTTTTTTGTCTTTTTGAGGCAGGGTCTCCCTGTAGCCCCAGTTGTCCTGGAACTCACTATGTAGACCAGGCTGGCCTTGAACTCACAGAGATCCACCTGCCTCTGCCGCCCAAGTGCTGGGACTAAAGGCATGTGCCACCACACCTAGCTCAGTGCTATTTTTTTTAATGTAATTTATTTCTAGTTTATATGTATGAATGTATGTTAAATGCACCCATGTTATACAATGCCTGCAGAGGCCACAAAAGGAGTTGGATCCTCTGAAACTGGAGCTTTAGGTGGTTGTGAGCTGCCCTGTGTGTACTGGGAACCAAACCTGGGTCCTCTGCAAGAGCAGCCATTTCTCTTAACCACCGAGCCATCTCTCTAGCTCCTCAGACCTACCTAATTTTTGAGGCAGGGTTTCTGTTGTGTAGCTCAGGCTAGCTCACAATCCCCTTGGCCTTAGACTCTTGGGGATGGATCTCAGGGCGCTGTGCACACCAGGCAGCTGTCGCTCTGAGCTGCACACCCAGCCCTTGAGGCAGGGTCCCACCGTGAATCCCAGGCTGGAATTCACGATGCAGCTGAGGCTGGCCTCAGATTCAAGATCCTCCAGCCTCGGCCTGCCTGCTGCCGGGATTACAGGTAAGCTTTACTGTGGGTGGGTCAGAGGGCTTTGCAGTGGTGGGGGCTGAGGCTGGCTCCATGGAGGTCAGAGGTCGACCTCAGGCACTGGTGCCCACCACTTCACACAGCTTTTTATGTGGGCTTAGGCCCTCATGCTTCAAGACAAGTACCTTACTTAGCCAGCTGAGCTATGTCCCAGCCCCTACAGTTTTCCCCACCAAATAAGTCAGGCAGGCTTGTGGGGTAGTCAGAAGGTAAGATATAGACAAGAGGCACTGCCCACAAGCGCTGTCTGCCTGGAGGGGCAAGGGGACGTTAAGCCACTCCGTGCAGACACAGCCCAAGGAGCGGCCAGCCTTAAGGGACAGGAAAAAGGGACAGGAAAACTCAGGCGGGCAATGGTTTCCAGATCAGCCAGATGGGTGGGGTAAGGTAGGGCTCCAGCTGCCTTGTGTGGGCATGGTGAGGGTCCTCCCAGGGCCTCTGGCCAGCCCCTCACCAATGCCACCCTTTCTTCCCAAGTCTCCACTTCAAGTCCTGCAGACTGGGAAGGCTGAGCTGCCCTCTTGGAGGGTGGGTCCCACCTGAGCTCCAGGAGGCTCTCAGCCCACCCTTGCCCTCTGCTCCCTGGGCTGGAGCCACTGGAGCCAGGCTTCCTGGTGCCCAGTGGCCAGGGCTGGGAGGATCCTGGCCTCGCCAGCAAGGTGGGGCAGGAGGGCTAAGGAGCAGCGCCTTGGCTGCAGGCCGGGGCCCTGGAGCCTCGGATCCCTGGATAGAAGGCCACCCAGTCTTGGATGGCTTATGGGACACCTCCCACTTCCCTGTCTGCCTTCCCACCCGCCTATGTCCTGGGGTTCCCCTCGGTCCTTCCCAGCCCACCTACTCCACCTTCTGCTCTCCACCCTCAGGGATGAAGTGGGGCATGAGGCAGACCGAGCTGGGTCCCAGTATGCTTGACTGGCAGTGGAAAATGCTCAGTACTTTATTGAAAGAAAGCAATAAATAATACTGTGATAAAAACAGTTCCAAAGTCGACTGTACACACTTAGTTACGTAATCGGGAGGGTCACGAAAGATTAAGAGAAAAACAGAAGGGTAACCACAAATTGTACAAGTGAATTCAGCAGAAAGGGTGAGCAGGAAGACGCTGCCTCTCCTGCTCACCGGCTGCATAACCAACAACACGTTTGCCTGGTCCGCTGGCTGGCTCCTAGGTGCCTTCAACAGCAGCTCCGCCGCCACCACCACAACCCAAGACGGCCAGAGCACGGCGCCCTCAGCACAGCTGGGTCGGTCCTTTCAGCATGCTTACAGAGAACATAGAAAAGACGTGTAGTAAGGGGTAAGGCCTCTGTGAGACGTGCAGGGTGCCTGCTCCTGCCTTCACCTGCCCTGCCCCAGGCTGGGAGGTGAGTGCATGCCCCGCTTTTGGTCCTTGAAGAATGACTGGAGGGAGGCAGCTGGAAGGCTCCAGAAGGTTACGCTCAGCTCCCTGGCTGCAGCCACCCCGGCCGTGGAGAGCTCTGCTCCTAGCTCATGGCTCTGCTCAGCATAAACGACCCATGTCCAGTGCATGGCAGAGGGTGGCCGGGGCTGGGAGGGTTCAGAGTTCTGACCATCGGTCCCAAGCCTGGCAGAAGCCAAGATTTCGTGCTAGAAAAAGTACAGTTAAGGTCAGTCCTTAGAATACAGAAACATCTGTAAATGAAGTCTCCCAAGTGATTGCTGCGGAGCTGGGCAGAAACATACATGGCTTGTCATGATGACTTTCTAAATGCAGTAAAACCCTTTCCTCTGTCAGGGCTCGACATTAAAAATTAAACAGGTAATTACAATAAATGCATAATTTACAGAAGCCCTACATCTGCTCATAGATTTACATAAAGCATTACAGTACATTCATTTAAAAGACTAAGATTAGACAGAGAACATGAATTGATTCAAAAGGATATTTATAGCCTGGACATACATGGAAAGTAACTATATAAAGAAGAGGCCTAAGTTTACATAAATATAAGAAACATTGGATTCTAAAATATTTTCTCTATGGTATTTGTGATTTTTTTCACTAGTTAAAAAACTCTGTAATAAAATATCTCCGGGTCCATGGAGCAAGTGCTGAGACTAGACTCCGCAGCTCTGGCCGTGGTCTCTGGGCTGTGCCGCATTGCCGCATCGTCACCGGTAGAAGTAGTGCGGGTAAACTGCAAACAAGCAGACAGCACCTCTCAGCACACGGCGCCTACATAGCAGGTCCCACAGCCACCTGCTTCCCCTGCCCTGTCCCCGAGCCTGTCTAAAAGGTACAGGCTAACAGAGGACGCCTCGGGAAGAGGTCCCAGGCTCCAGCAGGACAGCATCTCTGAGCAGAGTTGGGGTGGGAGCCCACCCTTAGCAGGGGCTCTGCGGCACTGGACACAGGCAACCACCGTGCTGTAGCCAGAACTCAGCAGTGAGCTGTCTAAACACCAACTCTCCAAACTGAGGGCTGTCCGGCTGCATGGCCGGCACCTCCTCAGGTGGCACAGCACATGCGGCCTCCACTTGTCCTAACACAGCAGCTGAGGCCAGCCCTGCACAGACACACCAATGTGCAGGAGACCGACCTTACCCCTGCCCCTGACTCTGGGTGGTGTCCCCAGTCCTGCCCTGACTCCGGGCGACAGTGAGCGGGGTGAGTGAAAACTCCCTCTCACAGCCAACCCCACCTTCCAACGACATCAGCTCTCAAGCAGAGCAAGGCAGTACATTTTCCTCAACAGAAAAAGCTGCTTCATCCTGTGACCACTGTCCGAAGTGCCCATGTGGCGCTGGACATGGCAGCGTCCCGCCTGCTCTCTACTCACCAGCAGGAGGCGCTAGCAGGAGTAAGTCCTGACCGTGGCAGAGTCCAGCCTCTGTGCTCCGGACACACTGCCTGTCTCCACAGCCACGGAGGAAGCATGCAAACACAGCGTGCAGTTAGTGTTAAACATCACACAAGGGCACAAGTAAGACAGTCCACCTGTCGCAGGGCTTCCCAGGGATGCGAAGACAGCCTACTGGCTGGGGGAGAGGCCAAGCAAGAGCACCCAGGGGTGGCTGAGCTTCTGCCCCTCCCCAGAGTTCCAGGATACGGACAGCTAACTCTGAAACCACATGGGGGCCACACAGCACACACACGACTCCAGGGGTCCACGTTCACCAGTGAAAACTACATAAAGGGGTTGCTCTGCGCACACAGGCCTTCTGCCCTGGGAGGGGCTGTGGAGAGGAGTGAGGCCAGGCTCTAAGGCAGGAGGGGTCCATGCCCAGTACCCACTGCTCACCAGGTTGGAGCAGAGGTGCAGGGCATGCTAGCCAGGGCATACCAACTTTCCTTAGGAAACCCAAGCCCAGACTGTTTCCATCAGACAGAGGGAGGCCAGTGAGCTCGCTCCTGGTTGTCATTTAGAAAACACCAGTGTGGAGGACGGGTGAGGCAACTGGACTGAAGAGGCACTGTGGGCCTGTGGCCGAGGCCTGGGGGGCAAGGGTTCACCCTTCCTCCCTCAGATGAAGCCCTGACACAACCTGGCCTCCAGGCAATGCTCTTCTACCTGCGGGGGATGAAGAGCCACAACCTGTACCACAGCCCTGTATCTCTTCCCGGCCCGCTTCTGCCTCCCCAACGCCTGTTCTTTGTTTTGTCTTCTGGAGACAGGGTCTCCCTGTAGCCCCAGCTGGCCTGGAACTCACTATGCAGACCAGGTTGGCCTCGACCTCACAGAGATCTGCCTGCTGGGAAGTGTTGGTCTCATCCAGCATTAACATTAGTGCTAGGCGGGAAATATGGTTCAGGACCAAGAAAGTGGGGCACTGGCTCGCAGCTCTGAGCTGGCTTGCCTGGCTGAGGGTGCTGCAGCTCATCGGGACTCACTCATGAATTTGCCTGTGAGCAGACAGACCGGCTTTTCCCCCTTCAGCATATGACTGACTCTGGCAGAAGAACGCAGAGCCTGTACCCACTGAGCTCCCACTGCGCTCCCCAGAACCGCCCTCATCACGAGTCCAGCTCAGTGAGGCTCAGAACAGATGTGCTTGTGTCTGGTTTCCAGAAGGGTGAATGAAAGCCAGGAGGCCCATCAGAGCCTCCCGCACAGAAGATGGCAGGCGCCTGCATTGCCATACCAACCCCGCAGGGCTCTGGCTTGCCTGCTTTGAGTGCTTGAGTGTCTCACCATCAAACATCCCTGGCAGAGGGCACCATGGTGAGCTCAGGGCACAGCCAAGGGGCTTGCTCAAGGTCACGGGCTGGCTTAAGGTCATGTGCCTTCTAGCAGCAGGCCCTATCCAAACCTCACCTGGCTTCTGTCATTAGATGAGCACAGGTCAAGCAGAGATACCTGTCAGGAGTCTAGGGTCCAATCACAATCAACTGTGCTTGCAAAGGAGACACCCAACCCCACTGAAAGCCAACGTCATGCCATTCCTTGCTAGGACATCAGCACAGACATACGGTTCCACTGGCAACACTGGAGCCTCCAACCCTTGCATCTCCCCTGACCCCTGTCCAAGGACATATGTGTGACACAGAACAAAGGAGAGAGGACGGGCAAGAGGGGGGGAGGTGGGAGAGGGAGGGGCAGAGGGGAAGAGGGAGGGGGGAAAGGGGGGGACGGAGTGGGTGGTTATAGAGCTCACCGAAGGGAAACTGTATTATTTAAAATTTACTTGGGCCAGGTATTGTGGCTCAGGCCTATAATCCCAGAACTCAAGAGGTTGAGGCTGGAGGATTACTGTGAGTTTGAGAGTAGCCTAGGCTACCATAGTAAAAGCCTGCCTCGGGGTAAATGCTGCTGCCTGTCCTGTCCTGGCTCTGCAGCATAAGTTCTGCCTCAGCTCCAGAGCAGACAGTGCTGAGCCTTACGGAGAACAGGCCAAGATTCAGCCAGACAACTTTCTTAGATTCTATTATTGTTAACTTTTTAAGAATAAACAGGGTTAACTGTACACACATGCAGCCACACCCCGATGCTCAGTCACCCAGGGCCCATGACACACCATCCATCTGAATCTTCTTTGGCTGCACAGAGGGCGAGGACATAGAGGAAGTGACCCGGAAGTTGGCAGGAAGCGTCTCCGCGGAGCCAGCAGCCAGGCCTCGGACCTCCTTTGGTCGGAACTTCTTTCTCCATGAAGGCGCCCTCCTGAAGCTTTTATCATCGTCCTGGCAACCAGAGACAGACACAGCCCCACTCAGCAGCAAAGGCCAGGCACACCCTGAGAGGCAGATCCTGCAGAGCAGCTGGCCCAGGACTCTGGCTGCCCAGCACAGGTCTACAGCAGGAACGGCCACCTGGGGACACTCCTGCCCACACTGCAGGCCCAGGCCAGTCCTGGCTGGTGGGTCCTGCCCTTCCTCAGGCCTCACTTCTCCTCCTGCAGAAAGCAAAGGACAGCTGTGGAATGGACAGGGCCACTACAAACTTCCTGTCACAGGCCAGGATGGCGCTGACGAGGGCGGTATCTTGACAGATGGCTCTGTTCTCTGTCAGACCTGAGTTCTTCGGGGCCCAATGACGACAGTTCTAACAAGGTCACAGTTCTGCATGGGGAGAAATTAGCTCTCTCTCTAACACCCTTCTCAAAGACTGCTCTCAGAGCACAGGGCTCTGGAGTAGGGCAGGGCATTCCCAGAACACGATCCACACACTGTCTATGGGCTTCACTGAGTTTTATGGTGTGTCCACTGCTTAAGGGACATCACAAACAAAACAGTAAGCGTGGCGAGGTGGTGCACATGTGCAGCCCCAGCACTCAGGAGGGAGGCAGAGGTAGGGACATCACTGCAAGTTCAAGGCCAGCCTGGGCTACACTGCGAGGCCCTTTCCCAACACCATTTCTGCATTCCTAAATATTAAAGGGGAACAAAAGCTTTACTGAAATAGTTCTCTTCTGGCTGGGGTGTGGACTGTGGCAGGCAACTTCTGTGTCTCGGTTCTGGCCTGGCCCAGCACAAGCACCATGTGTGGATGTGTCTGACTAACATTCTCCACACCACAACTCCATGTGATGGGCAGGTAGCAGAACGCTTGCCCGGCATGCTCAAAGGCAATTCCAACCCCAGCACAGTGGGAACATGCAGGCCAATAAGATGAGACCACCGGGCTGAGACTTACTTCGTCAAACCTTCTGTCCGTTCCCATGACCAAAAGGTGGTTGAACTCTCTTTCCAAGACAGCTCGTGCCTGAAACAGCAAAATTACCACCAAAACTCATCAATCTAACAGGAGGGACGTTGGCACATCCCACTGCTAAGAACATGCTAACCCTCAGTGACATCGGAAGTGAACACATCTAACCTTCAGGAAGATTCGGGAGGGGGCCACATTCTCAGAAGCTGGACAGCCATGTGGGTTGGCGGGGTGTGGGCAGAAGCTAGTGCTCTATGGGAGTGAAACTGGCCCCGTCCGATGTGCTAAGTAAAGGGCAGGTGAAGACACAAAGCTGAGCCGTGGACACTGAGTCAGCCCCTCACAGACTACTAGGAAGGAGATCGCTATCTGAGGCTCCAGGTGACAGTGTGGGATCAGGACTGCGGAGACCATGGCAGGTAGGCAGACGGCTGTGGGGGTCACCTGAGTGTTCTGTGTGGGAATCTGCAGCAGCAGTGCCAGGGCGTTGAAATCTAAGGTCTCATCCAAGGCCAGAAGTGCGCCGTGCACGCCACTCTCTATTAGGTTGTTGGCATACTCTTTAAGGCCGATGGACAGGATCCAGCGAATCACCCGGTCATTGCTCCAAACCAGCACATCTGTGAAAGGACGAAACAACTCAAGGCAGCCCGTGGCAGAACGGGTTGTGCGTCCTGATCCCGATCCGTAGGTGTCATCACTGCCCTCAGCCTTACAGGTATCATGCCCACGCAGCAGCGTGCTCTATGAAAGCACAGGACCTGGTCTGGGGAGCCCAAGGGAGTGCCAACACTTGCTCAGCCCCACACAAACCTCATTTCTCAACCTCAAACTTCTGTTCATGTTAAACATTTTAGAAAACATTTCTTTCACGATGTAAACACCTTTCTCCCTACACAGCCTCCCTGGCCTTGAACTAACATGATCCTCCTGTCTCAGCTTCCTGGGTGCTGGGGTCCAGTTCTCACATTCTGCAAAGAGAAACCGAAGGGTGTCCAGGCTACAGGACACCGGAGACTGAGCATATAACATCACAGCCCTCGCTCAGCTCTGCTGGAGAGCTAGGTGGTCACCAACCTCATCCAAAGCCAGCTCCCACACAGAGGGCTGCGGAGCACACCACCCAGAACGTTTCCTCCCCAGGTCCTGACCTGTAAGCTCCCTCCACCAGTTGAGAGCCCTATCCCAGGAGGTGCGCTGCTCTCAGTTTCTTTACAGTGCTGGGCTCACGTCCAGGGCTCTGTGAGTGCCACACGCCAGGGAGGGCTTCATGTCGAGCCAGCCCAGCCCTCAAGCACACCTTCACCGCTAGGTTTTTTTCTTTTCATATTAAAAATAGGATGAAAGCGCACTCACGAAGCGGGGTGACGCTGAAAGATGGGGGTAGGGGGGTGCAGCTGAACAGAGCTAGGGGGTGCCACTGAACAGAGCTGGGGGGGACAGCTGAACAGAGCTGGGGGGGCAGCTGAACAGAGCTGGGGGGTGCCACTGGACAGAGCTTGGGGGGGCAGCTGAACAAGGCCTGATGCCAGTCAGCACCACTGTCAGAGCTGTTAGTGACTTCTTGACTTCCAAGACAACCCCCCAGTAGATGACTGTTGCCAGCACCTCAGGGCCTTTGGGCAGAGTGGCCACTGTCTGCTGGACTGTTCCACTGGCCCGCCTCTGCCTGCCCTGGATGCTGCTGTCCGTCACAGGCCGGCTGAGGGCTGGGGCCTCTTGCCCTCCCTGTGACAGCCCACAGCCCAGCTTCCATGCTTAGGCAGGTGAACTCCGCCCTGCATTTCTAAGGACACATCATGAGGCACAGGAGAGACAGCATCCCCACAGACAGGGTCAGGTGAGTGTTCAAGCAGGCCTGCTGATCTGTGTCAGGCCAGGCCCTCCACCCCCACTGAGGCCGCAGGGCAGGAGTGGACAGAGCTGGCCCCGCACAGGGCCCACCGAGGCCACAGGGCAGGAGTGGACAGAGCTGGCCCTGCACAAGGCCCACCGAGGCCGCAGGGCAGGAGTGGACAGAGCTGGTCCCGCACAGAGCCCACCAAGGCCACAGGGCGTGGCAGGCCAGCACGGAACCCACCTTTCGTCTCATTCTGGCTCTCTTCTCTTTTTCTCTCCAGTTCTTTTCGGTCATAATTTAACCTTCTCAGGCACATAATTCCACACTGGAAACTGTTCCTATTTGGGGGGGGTGGGGGGAGATGTTATACGGTGCTGGCAACAGGGCAAGCCTCCAGTCACAAGGGAAGGTGCGGACTCACCTGTGGAAGCTGTCGACCATCTTCAGTTGCCCTCGCAGGTCCTTCTTGGTCAGGTGATCCAGCATGCGGGCATCTACCAGGCACTCCATGAAGTAGCTGCGGTACTGTGGCAGGCCCAGGCTGGGCAGCCACTCGTTGCCGATCCACTCGTGGTTCATGTCCCCATACGCTAACGTCTGTTTTTAATAGGTGGTGACGTTAGCTACTGACTTTTCATCTGCCATACTCTCTGAAGAATAAACTAAAGACAGTGCGGGCTTGATGATTCCCAAGCACTCTGACCCCACTCCCCCTTTCAAACATCAGGGAGACTTCACACAGAAGGAATCACACCATTAAAACCCAGGACTCACTGACGCTCATCAATGATCTCACAAACCATACTAAGCTCTCAGCTGACTACGGACCCCTTCCAGGAACAGCTTTTAATGCAGTAAATAAGGGCGACCACGACTCATGAACAAGTTTGAAGAATCTGTCCAACTTTACTCATTGAAATGATCTCTGGCTGGTTTTGATTTTGGTTTTTCCTAAATGAAACATGTTTATTAAAAAAAAAAAAAAAGTAAAGCTGATTTAGAAAATAGTTTAAATTTGGGAGGGCGGGTTAATCTCTATGTGTATGAGTATTTTGCCTGCATATATTTAAGGGAACCCACATCATGCAATGACCCCGGAGGCCAGAAGAGGATGACAGATTGCCTGGAACTGGGTGGTTGTTAGGCCCCCATGTGGGTGCTGGGAACCAAACCTGGACCTTCTGCAAGAGTAGCCAGTGCTTTTAACCACTGAGCCATCTCTCCAGCCCCAGAAATAGTTTGAGACAAACCAAGCTGGACATGGTGGCGCATGCCTCTAATCCCTGCACTCTTAGAGGCAGCAGCAGGCGTTATCTCTGTGAGTTCAAGGCCAGCCTGGTCTACAAATCAAGTTCCAGGCCAGCTGCAGCTACAGAGATACCCTATTGCAAAAAGAATGAGACAGAGAGAGAGAGAGAGAGAGAGAGAGAGAGAGAGAGAGAGAGAGAACAGGATTCAATGAAGAAAAGGACAATTACACAGTTATGGTAAGAAGACCGTAAACCCCCTAACCAAAGCTTTCCTTTCCCTGCAAGGCTGGCAAGACTCACAGACTCAGGCAGCCATTCCAGCCAGTTCGACCAAGCTGTATTTTCCAGAACTCTCCACCCAACAACAACGTGCTTTCCTTCTTCCTTTCTTTTCTCCAGAGGAAGCCACCACACTGCCCAGGACCAGCACAGAGGTGCATCTCACTCTACCGTCCCTTGACTGCACCACGTCACCTGGTGTCCCTAGTTCTGGGAGAGCCCCACCCAGTGCACAGTATGCCACATCTTCAACTTTCTGGGCTCAAGTGATCCTCCTGCCTCAGCCTCCCAAGAAGCAGGCGACAGGTGATGGCCCCACAGCCACCTTTAGAATGCATCTGGCCTGGTGAGGCGCAGGGACTGGCCCAGGTTCATGAGTGCTCCACATGCTCCACCATGGGACAACACCTCAGGGGCCCCAAATGTTCAAAGACTAATCCTATGGTGTTCCTCGGCCTCAGAAGAAAATGATCACAGAGAGAACTGCAACTCTAGTGCTCGGGAAGCTGAGACATGCTGACTGCCATGAGTTTGAGGACCAGACTGGGCTGCAAGATAAGACCCAGCCTCAAAAGCAGGGGCCGGGGAGGGGTGCTAGAGACATGGCTCCTCAGTTAAGAGCACTGGCTGCTGTTGCAGAGGACTCACAGTCCATTCCCAGCACCCATGTGGTGGCTAACAACCCTCTGTAACTCCAGTTCCAGGGCATTCACGTCCTCTTTTGGCCTCTATGGTTGTTTGAATGAAAATGTCCCCCATAGGCTCCAAGTATTTGGATATTTTGTCCCCAGATGGTAGCGCTGTTTTGGGAGGTCTTAGAAGGTGTGGCTAGCCTGGAGGAAGCATGTCACTGGGGGTGGGCTTAGAGAGTTCTTAAGCCTTGCCAGACCTCCAGCTGCTCTCTTGCTTCCTGTACCTGTTGGAAGATGTACAGCTTAGCTTCTGCTCCTCCTCCCGCCATCTTTGCCACCAGGCCTCCCCGCCAGGATGGACTGTAATTTCCCTGGAACCGTAAGCTCAAATAAACTTTTCCTTCTATAAGTTGCTTTGGTCAGTGTTTCTGTCACAGTAGCAGGAAAGTGACTAATACGGTAATTGGTACCAGGAGTGGGGTGTTGGCTGTGAAGAACATGCTCATGTGGGGTTCTGGAAGAATGTAGAAGACTTTGGAAGTCTGAGCTAGAAAAGTGGTTGATTGCTGTAAGCAGAACTTAACAGGCCATTCTAGTAAACGCCTGGAAGCAAGCAGTGCTGAGAACAGTGTAGTTCCAGAGGGAAATAAGGACTTAAGCAGCACTTGGGATATTTTGGCAAAAGCTCTGGCTGGAGTCTGCCCACATCCAAAAAGCTTGCCTGAGGCATGAAAAAAGCAAGAGTGAAGGGGTCACTGGTTCTTCCTCTGCGGTTTCAGAGCACCTTGGAGGCCAGGCAGTGTACAGCAGGGGTTCCCCTGCCTAGAGAAGGCCTTGACAGGCCACTGCGTGAAGCTGTGAAGGTGAAGCCTGGTTGGCAATGGAGACCCCCAGAAGACGTTCACGGTGCCAGAGCTGTGAGGCATCTGCCAAGAAGACCTGCACACAGGGAGTGGTTCCAGCCCAAGAGAGAGATGTGTGTGCATCCAGCAAAGCTGGAGAGACTGAGCCATCTAAGTCCTTTGGAAGTAAGTCCCAGAAGTCGGACGTGGAGCTACTGGACTTGGTGTTTGCCCTGCTGGTTTTCGGTCTTGTTTTGGTCTGGTATTTCCTCACTGTGCCTCTATTCCTCCTTTTGGAATGGGAATGTGTATTCGGGTCCACTGTATGTTGGAGTATGTAATTTGTCTTTTGATTTCACAGGAATTTACAGTTAAGAGATTTCCCTGTGTCTCAGAACAGACTTTGGACTGTGGACTTTGAATAGTATGAGACTGTAATGACTATAGGGATTTTTAAAGTTGGACTAAATGCATTTTGCACTTTATATGGTCATGAGCCTGTGGGGGTCAAGGTGTGGAATGTAGTCGTTTGAATGACAATGTCCCCCATAGGCTCCAATGTCCATATTTGGACATTTTGTCCCCAGATGGTGGTTGTTTTGGGAGGTTTTAGAAGGTGTGGCTATCCTGGAAGAAGCACGTCTCTGGGGTTGGGCTTAGAGAGTTCATAAGACTTGCCAGACCTCCAGTCATCTCTTGCTTCCTGTGCCTACGTGATGATGTGAGAGCTTAGCTTCTGCTCCACCTCCAGACACCAGGCCTCCCTGCCATGAAAGACTGTAATTCCCCTGGAACCGTAAGCTCAAATAAACTCTTGCTTCTATAAATTGCTTTGGCCAGTGTTTCTATCACAGCAACAGAAAAGCGACTAATACACCCATACACACACAACATAGGAAATGGGTCAAGGTGTGGAATGTAGTCGTTTGAATGACAATGTCCCCCATAGGCTCCAATGTCCATATTTGGACATTTTGTCCCCAGATGGTGGTTGTTTTGGGAGGTTTTAGAAGGTGTGGCTATCCTGGAGGAAGCATGTCACTGGGGGTGGGCTTAGAGAGTTCTTAAGCCTTGCCAGGTCTGCAGTTGCTCTCTTGCTTCCTGTGCCTACGTGATGATGTGAGAGCTTAGCTTCTGCTCCACCTCCAGACACCAGGCCTCCCTGCCATGAAAGACTGTAATTCCCCTGGAACCGTAAGCTCAAATAAACTCTTCCTTCTATAGGTTGTTTTGATCAGCGTTTCTGTCATAGCAACAGAAAAATGACTACTAATCCAGCCTCTAAGGACACTGCATGAATGTGGTGCACAGACATATATGTAGACAACACACTCATATACATAAAGTAAAAAATAAATATCTTTTAAAAGAAAAGAGAAATCAGCAATCAGTAAGCCAGATATGGGCTGATTAAGAGACTAAGACAGCAAGATCACGAGGTCCAAATTTAGAGGCTAGTCTGAGCAACACAGCAATACCCCATCTCAAAAGAATAAATAGTAATAGAGGTAAAATATCTAGACAGACTCCAAATATTTGCAATTTAACATACTTTCAAATAGCCCATGAAAAAAATCTGCAGTACCAGTAAGTCAAATCAACGGTATGCTAAAGCAGCAAGTTATGAGGAGGACTGAGTACCACAGGAACAGGGGTTGTTCAACATTTGGGGCAAAAAAGAGGAAATTTTTCCTATCAAAAGATTGGAAAACCACATTACAAAAGACCCAGAAACACGTGACAGGATCCCTCCTCCACCGTGGAGTGCCTGGCAAGTCAGAATGGAGCAAGTCTGCCTCCACGAGGGGCAGAGCATCTCAGAAGGTAGAGGGTGGAGTGTTTCCAAAGGGTGAGGTGCAGCCTGGCCCCCTCCCAACACCTGCATTCAGCCACTGACACGGGGTAAGAGGTAGGGACACAGAGTGAGTACCTGGGCTGGAAAGGAGGTCTGCCCCTACAGTGCGGAGGCCACCATACCAGCCCAGGGGAGGGCTCTGCCTGGTGCCCCCAGAACAGGCAAAGCAGGCAGAGGCAGGAAACAAGGCCAACATACCAACCACACAGGAGAAGGGAACCGGCAACCGAGGGTTTAGAAACACCACTCCCTATGCATTCGACCCCAGAACACACTGTGATGTGACACAGCGTGCCAGGTCTATGCCACGGAAATACACACGCTATGCCCATAGAGAGGGAAGGTAACTTCAGGTCCATGGTAGGATCCTGAGGGAATGGAGACGGCCTCCAATCTAACTGTCCATCTGCTCCAGTCAAGGTGGGAAGAATGAGTCAGACCCTCCTGGGAGGGTCCTGCTCTGGTACCACCTCCCCCAACACTCTGGGTGGTCTCACTGTCCCTGCAGGTCTAGCCATGGGCACAGGACCTCCTAGCTCTGTCTTCCTTGGGGAGGACGTGGAGGAACCAGATAAAGGGTTGTGTGGGGTAGCACCCTCCCATCCCTGCATGTCTCCACACATCCGGTCACACTTGTGCAGCGGCAGCGGCACGAGCTCAGTCCAGGAGGCCCTCCCCTTCTCCCAGGCTGCTGTGACAGCCCAGGGAGGGGAGCCCACAAAGTCTCAGCAAAATGCCAGCTCCGCCACGGCAGGGTCCTGGCCACACTGCTCGCTGGTGGCTGGGGGGTGGCTCAGTGTCCACACAGCACAGGCACTAATATTCTCACTGCACACTGCTTCCAAGGGTCTGGGATTGATAAGCCTCTCGCAGGAGGGCGGGCCAGCAGCTGTGTCGGGAAGGGGCCAGTGAGACGCTCTGACACCTGTGCAGGCCCTTCTTAAACTTCCACTGCAAACACAGCTGCTGTACTCACACGGAGAACCAAGGTTTCTGCTTGGTCACGGATGCTACACTGAAGTCAAATGGGAAGTGTCTGCTTGGCTCACTCACGACACTGCCGGCCCTGTAAGTGGACTTGTTACTGTGGTAAATGATTAATGCGTTCAGAAGAGAGCAGAGAGCCTATAGCAAGGCAGAGTCCATGGCTCCTCTCTTCCTCTGTGCCATTGGTTACACTCTCAAGTACAAACAGGCAGACAGCTGCTCCCACTACCATCTTGGCCAGGACGACTCGGAACACGACTCCCCAAGTCCACACCTGGAGCTGCACAGCCCTGAGTGCCACAGCACAGCCTTAGCGACACTGTGGGGGTCCTGGGAGAGCTGCTGCACCGCAGGTTGCAAAGACCTCAGGAGGAGCTCCCTCAGGCTGCCCAAGTGGCGGCTGAGCACACAGGCGCGGACCAGTGAGCTGGCTCAGTGGGTGACAGTGCTTGCTGCCAAGTCTCATAACCAGAGTTGCATCCCCAGGACTGACACAGGGGAAGGAAAGAGCTCCTACAAGTTGTCCTCTGATCTCCACACAAGCTGTGGTACACATGCACACACGTACATACACGAACAAGTCCATGTAGTAAGTTTTAAAAAGAAAGAAAATGAAACATCTACAAGACAGGAAGAGGCTTAACTTCTGAGAACTCCCCTTGTGGATCTGTAAACCTGGACTGTGAGGGCAGTGCTCAGTAAAACCAACAGGGACATGGAGGAGGGCACCGTGCCTCTGATTTTCAGGGTGTCCCCATTTCTGCCAGTAGATCTGGAAACTAAAGTCACTTCCTGGGGAGTTACACGTGCATGATCTCGGAAGCCGGAGGCCTCTGTGTGAGGGTCTCTGGTAACAGAGACCTGTGCTTACGAACAGCCACCACAATGGCTCCCGTGGAAAAGTTCAAAGTTGTCCATGAGCCGCCGCGTGCCCCACGCACCCTGCGCTCGCTCGTCTCAGGCTCTCAAACCGTCAAGCACACAGAGCAGCCGAGATGCTAGGAGCAGAGCCACACGCCCTCCCGCCCCAGCCGCCTTCTGCCGTCGGTGAAGAAGGTAAGTGAGACGCCAACCTGAGCCCAGCTGCCCTCCTCGTCTTCCTGAGGTTACGTGGTCAGGGATGCAAAAGAACAGACTGTTAGTGTCGGTGAGCCGTGCTGAGCAAGTGGGGGAACGGGGGCAGCTGGACGCACGGTCACAGCGGCATGCAGCCCGCGCAGCCCAGGGTTTCATGCAAGGAGCACACCCTTTCCATGCCGAGCACACCCATGAGAGACAGCGGAGTCCCACCATCACAGCAGGGCGCTAAGCTGAGCTCTCCTCCAAGGGCAGAGATAAACCCCATCTAAATACACATGCCTGCCAGCTCTATCTTCTGGAGAAAAACTAAAATGAAACGAATTCTCCCCTGTGCACTCAGCTGAGGGGAGGCTGCTACCCAGAGGGCCCTCATCTGAAACGCTGAACCTCAACTTTTGTTCCCAACAAAGAGGGAAAAGCCCAAGCCGGTCTGCCGTGGCCGTGCACGTGGGCGCGGTTGCGGTGACTAACCGTTTGCGGTGTGGCTGCGAGCGTTTCCATCTCTTCGTGTGTTAACCAGACATTTCCTGTGGTCTAAGGTACCCAGTGCACCAGCCACATCCGGGCCAGGGAAGCATGACAAAGAGGAGAGGGGCACACATGACATGAGCGACAGGCCCAGCAGCCTGAGGCAGAGGCTGCTCTTCAGAGTTACAACTGCAGCAGCCCAGCCCACCTAGCGGCTGCTGCGCTGTACCGCACAGTGCCGGCTTCCAGAGCCGCTGCTGTGAACACAGCGGCCCGCCTTGCTGGCCACCTCTCCCACAACCACACATTCACTGTACTTGACAGTGTCGCTGGATTGGAGGTGGGGCTTAGGGGCAGGGGTGCCCAGCAGGTACAAGGCCCTGGGTTTGAGCCCCAGCACTTCCAAAAAGAGCTCCCCAACCTCAATACAACAGCCCAACCCCGAAGAAGCAGCCAAGGGCCAGAGAGAGCCCAAGACTGGGTTCTAGACAGGCCCCAACGATGTGTGTTCCCATCAGAGCCAGAAGAGGGACTGCTGTCTGCAGTGAGCTCAAAGAGCCTCGCTACTCCCTGGCTGTGGAAGGCTTGCTCCCGCACACTCATCCCTCACCTCAGGCTGCTGGGCTGAAATCACAGCTTTATGAACACAGTGTGTTTCTGAAGACTCTAGAGGCCACATGGGCCCTTCCTTCTGACACGACCAACAGGGAACAGATAGGACCCTGGTGTCAAGGCCTCCTGGGAGAAGAGCTCTCTGGACCACAGCTGAGACAGAGGCCCACTGTTCATTTCCAGAATGAACAGAAAAAAAACCTCAACACTTTCTTCTAAATAACCATGAGCCCCAGGTCAGCCCCGGCCTGCTACACAGAGATGTCACACTTCCGGCCCACCACTGGCTTCATCAGATCACTCTGGGCCTTCTCACCTGGGGGCAGTCTTCTGGGCACAGGTGATATGCATACCTAGTGCTTCCTCAGGTACTTTACTGACTGAGCCCTGGAGCCTCAGGCTTCTCACACAAGCCACGGGCTGGTCACAAAGCACATCATGAACTAGCCACTTTTCCTCATGTTGTGCTCTTTGTTTATGAGACAGTACCCTATACAGCCCAAGGTGGTCTCACATTCTCAAAGGTTAAGCTCACCAGCAATGTATACCCGGGCTTTCCCCTTTAGTTCTGTCAGGGAAAAACTACTGTCAACTGAGAAAGGAGGGTCTAAATTCTCTAGGGACCAGAATGCTGGTGGTGGCAGCCATCTGTCACTGGTGCCATCGGCTGTACCCAGCAGGTTCCTTCATGGCGCTCAGCAGAGCTGCAACTCTGCAGACACACGCACTTCACTCCTCATGGGCTCCATGGACATGCCACGCTGAGCCCAGACTGTGAGTTCTTCTGAGTTCTTTTCTTTTCCAGGCACTGTGTGGAAGGCTGGCTTCAAGGGACAGCGAGGGAGCTGCCCTGCCTGCATGCCTACACCCCAACCTAGTGGCTGGTCCACAGGTGGTTCAACACTTGTTCCCCATGTAACATGTGCGACAGGTCAAAGGGCACATTCCCTCTTCAGTGACAGCTAGCCCAGAGCATCAAGCCAGAGGCCGCTCGTGGGAAGGAGCTCATAAATTGCTTTAATAGTTGCAAGTATTTATGTCATATAATCTGCTTAGCGAGCAGCCTGATGTACAGTGCAAAGACGAGCTAGCCATTCCGTTTCAGTCAGAAGAGAACTCAGAAGTGAAATGAAGCAATTTGTGCAAAGTGTGAGCCAGTGATAGTCACTGCTCTGTCCTAAGAACTCTTAGGCCGATTCAATGTTAATAAGTCTAAGTTTATGAGAATCAATTCCTATCTCTTATAAAACCTTCTTTAAAAGCTTATTTTTTAAGACAGGAGCTCCCTGTAGCCCAGATGGCTGGAACTGGCTACGTGGACCCGGCTGGCCTCAATCTCAGAGATCCACCTGTCTCTGCCTACGAGTGCTGGGATTAAAGGTGCGCACCACCCACCCACCCTGCAAAACCTCTTATTCTTTGAGGTCTTTCTAGACAAGCTTTTACTTTTAACTTGAGGTGGGGGGGTCTCCATGTTGTTCAGGCTGGACTTAAAACTTCTGCCCCTCCACCTCACCTCAAACTCCGGAGAAGCTGAGACGCCAGGTGGGCCACCATGCTGAGCTCCAGCCAAGGTTTCTTGAGAACCCTTTATTTTTCAGTGCTGAGGGCAGACCCTGGGGCCTTGCACATCTAGGCAAGCACTCTACCATGAGCCCAGACACTTGAAGTTCTCTGGATCATTCAACTCCTTAAGTGAAGGAGTCCTAACCTATCTGAAGCTGACAGAACTGTGATAAAGACCCTAATGAGTGTGGTGAATAGGCTGCGCCCTCCAGGAGGCACCCTTCCTCTATGGCACATGCCACTCTGGACATACCGTCCTGGACGTAGGTGGGGCAGAAGGGCTGGTCAGTGACATGATCTCCTGGATGGCCAGCCGCAGCTTCAGCCTGTGCAGGGGATTGCTGATGCCGATCTCCCGCTGGATCTCGGTGTCCGACAGGGCCGACATGATGGCTCCGCTCTTCACGTTTGCTCGGCAGGCAGCCACGTACCAGGCAGGCATCCCAACCCAGAGCTGAAGACAGCAAGGAGGCCAAAATGTGAGTCAAAACAGGGTTGCCTGGCCAGGTCCAAGCAATGCAGCACATGAAGGACTCACCTCCAGCCACACCACCACCGTGGGCCCATCCCACTGCGCAAATGGCAAGCCTTGCCTCCGGGCCTCCTCCAGTAGCTCGTGCCTACAGGAAGACACAGCAAAAGAACCGTCAAGCGGAAGTGGGTGTCAGCATGGTCACGTGGTTCCAAAGTGCGGCAAGGAGTCGCTCTCCCTCTCTCCAGCTTCCCTGGCAGGCACTACCTGCCTCAGGCTGCTCTGTGCGTACTGCACTGCCTCGCAGAGTACCAGCAGTCCTTCTGTCCGAGTGGTAGCACCCCAGGTTGGGTCCTTACAATAGAACAACAATGCAAAGCCCTGGGGAGACAATGCAGGGGTGGAGGCTGGGGGTATACTCAGGGACACAGCAACAACAAGTACAGCTTCTTTGATTTATATGTGCATATGTATTTTATTTTTTGTGTCTGAGTGTATTGTCTGCATGTGTGTAAATGCACCCGTTTCATGCAGTGCCCGTAGAGGTCAGAAGAGGGCGTCATATCCTCTGCAACTGGAGTTATGGACAGTTGTTGGCTGCCATGTGGGTGCTGGGAATTGAACTGGGATCTTCTGCAAAAGCAGCCAGTGCTCTTAACAGTGGAATTACTGCTCCAAGCTCTGGTTCTTTTTTAAAAATTATGTGTATTTATTTGCATGGGGGGAGAAGTGCACATGTATGCCATAGTGCATGTGTGGAGGGCAGAAGGCAACCTATGGGAGTTGGTTCTCTCCTCCCATGATGTGGGTCCTGGGACTCAAACTCAGGTTGTCAGGCTTGGCAACAGGTACCTTACCCACTGAGTCATCTCACTGTGATATTGTGTGTGTGTGTGTGTGTGTGTGTGTGTGTGTGTGTGTGTTTTGTTTTGGATATCGGGTCACTCTCTTTGTAAATGAGAATGATCTTGAACTTCTGATCTTATTGTCTTTGTTTTTGAGACAGGGTCTCCCTGTAGTCCCAGCTGGCCTGGAACTCTCTGTGGACCGGGCTGGCCTCTGCCTTGGTCTGCTGAGTGCATGATCTGGCACTGAGCCCCGCCTGGCACCGAGCCCACCCCAGGTCTTTGTGCTCCTAGATTGCTTTTCTAAGGTATTTTATGCATAATATTTTACAGAATGTTTCGTGTCTAAAGACAAAACCCTCTCAGTAACCCTCAACAGGAGGGCTTGCTTCCAGCTGCGACGTCTACAGAGGCGCTTCTTCTATACAAACGTCTCACGCAGTTCTGTGCGACAGCAGCATGGCTGGCTGGGAGTGGTTACCCTAGTGGCAGCACTGTCCTGTCTCAGTGGAGTCAGAAGTGATTCGGATCGCCTTATGAACTAAACAGAAATGAATGTGTGCATTCAGAGGGGAGACAGGGACAGGCTGCGCATGCCAATCCTTGGCTGTAAGGAAGCCAGAGTCCGGGGTCCCACCACCAACTGCTCATCTTCCTGCTTCCTTCAGACAAACTCTCCTCCATGACAGCTCCTGCACTCCATCAGAGACGGAACTCAAGCATGTGGGGCAGTGCCCAACCTGGGGGTGTGGCCTGGCCCAGGATGAAGGGTCAGGACTACCAGACCTTGTTCGTACTGAGGGGACTTTACAGGCCCTGGGTCCCAGACTCAGCAGTGTGGCAGCACCTGTTTTCTAGTAGTAACGGATCCATACCCAAAACCCCTGGCCAAGTGAAGCGGCCCTCCGGCAACCTCCACAGCTGCCTAGAGTTTGCTGTGCCTGCGAGGCTCCCTGCACTTCCTGATGGGAGTGAATGGTTGGGGCAGCCTGCTCTGGTTCTTAGAGAACAGGGCCATGGGCATCAGAAAGCAGGGGGACCAGAGGTGTGACGCACAGGCCACCCTCCGCCCCCACTGGACAGTCTGTGACTTGGTGACCCCCCCCCACAGCCCTGACACAGCCATAGTCCAGAACTTCAGTTTTGTTAAAGGAGCCACGCTTCTTAATAATCACGAGTTAAGGGACATAACATGTAGACCCTACAGACTCCTGAGGCTAGCCCTCTCTGCCTCTGCAACACCCTGTGATAGCAGTGCTACCTGCCTCTTCTTTTGGTATTTGAGACAGGTTTCATGGAGCCCAAGCTGGCCTCACTCACTCTACAGCAGCAGATGACCCTGAACTTCCGATCCTCCTCCACCTGGATTACAGACGTGTACCATGACCAGTTTACGCTTCATGCATGCTAGGCACGTACTCTACCACATCCCCAGCCCTTTCACAGCTTTACGGACATCCGCCACCCCAGCGAGCACCTCTAAAGACTCCAGTTGTGAGCTGCCACGTGGACTTCACAGAGGAGGACTAAACACAAGACAGAGGGACTTTCCCAGAGCCACAAGCTGACCCTAGCAGCAGGACTCAACTCCAATCTCGACAGGCCTGACCCTGGCCCACTCTACCTTCCTGCAAGACAACTTCTCAAGGCACACAGGAATCCACGTGAATGCTGCCTCAACATGCCAGGCCTCCAGAGAGTGTGGTTGAAAAAGACTATAATTGCTCTTTGTGTGCATGGTATGTGTACTTGATGGGTGCGTGTGGTATGTACATGTGTGGTGTGTGTGTATGGTGTATGTGTGGTGTATGTATGTAAAGTACACGTGTGGTGACACACCTGGGTTGAGGGAGCCACGACTGGGCAATTATCTCCATTGGGCTGGCCTGTGGCCATGTCTGTGGGGCATCTTCTTGATTGTTGTATGATGCTGAAGGGCCCAGGCAACTGTGGGTGGTGTCACCCCTGGGCTCCTGCTTCCAGGTTCCTGTCCTGAGTTCTTACCTGATGGAACTGTGACCTGGGAGATGTAAACTAAATAAACCCTTTCCTCCCCAAGTTGGTAGTGATCAGAATGTTTTGTCACAGCAATGGAGAAACAAACTAGAACACTGACCCTGGAGGTTGTCTACTGGCTGCTGAGCCCCAGGACCCTCCTGTCGACATCCAGTCCTCCCTCTTGTCCTAGGGTCCAGCTGTGTACACTGCTGGACCCAGCTTTACACTGGGGCTGGAGAGTTGAACCGGGTCCTGATGCTTTACCCACTGGGGCAGCCCCAAGCCTGAGTTCCCTGTCAGAAGGTCTTGCACACACGTTGTCCATGGCATTTACTGTCAGCTGAAACCCAAACACCACTCACCCTGAAAATTGCCTGGTAAGATGACGATAGAATGGGATGCTTACTTTTTCTGAAGTTTGCGATTCTTCTCAGCCTGTCCTCCCAGTTTACTGAGTCCCAAGGCATCCTGAGATGAATTCTCCGTCTCCGGAACACCAGCTAAAGGAAGCAGAGACGCAGAGACTGAGGAGGAGCCAACAGACACACCCTGGTTGCTCTGTGCAGGTAAAGTCAGCTACCCCCCCCCCGCCCGGGCTATTTCTGACCAAATGGCAAAGCAAACATTTGCAGGACAGTCACCAGTCACTCTGGGCAAATGGACATCAGCTGTGGCTCTTTGGGTCACATGTGTACCCACTGTGAGTACCCACACTCCCTAGAGAACTCCCAGCAGTACGGTGGCGCATGGGAGCTGGGCAACACAGCAGCACCCAAGGAGCACCCCACCCCTCACTAAGCTCACAGCCAACCGACCAACCTTGCCCTGTCGATTCCTTGCCCGGCGGCCCAGGTCGGCCCTTTTCCTTCTTGCCAAACAAGCGTCCAATGGAGGATTTGATGCCCTTCTTCTTCGGGGCCTTGTGGAGGGAGTCCTGGCTGCTGCTGCTGCTGCTGGGATTGCTCACGGGGCCATCCTGGGAGCCTGTGGAGCTTCAAGGAAAGACAACGGACTTTGACCTGGAGCCGTATCACGGACACCCACTCACAAGTACTGCAGCTCTGTTGGGCTGTTGACAAGCTCTCACTCCAGCCCAAGCCAGTCTGGAACTCGTGGCCATCTTCCTAAGCCTCCCAGGATAACAGACATGAATTACCAGTCAGTCAAACACTCACTTTACGTGACTCTTCTCCAACTTTCTAAGCATTATCAAGCCTCACAAAGGGTGCTGTGCGGTGACAGGCTGCCATGGGCTCACATGGGCGCCTGCTTCTGAAAGCCCAGCTTCTCTGGAACCTGACATTCCTCTGAAGAGGGCACCTGACCTCCACCCTGCCCGACACAGGAGTCCCAGGGACCACCCTCCTCAAGACAAGGCTGGGCCACTGGGAGCTGCCTGCAGGCCAGGGTGTGAGGAGCAGCAAAACAAACACAGCCACGGGACAGAGGCCTGACACCCAAGAGGGCCATCGCCACCAGATGAGAGCGATGCTCTACCTGCAGGCTATGGTGACCCAACTCAAGTGCCCTCCTTCCGGGACACCTCGGAAACTGCAAACGGCAGTGCACTGGCTACCGGCACCCAGGTGGCCACCAGATTCCTAATGGGAAGCACTTAATAAAGTGCTGGGATAATGTGGACGCCCAACGACTTGTAAATCCAAAACGGCAAGAGGGCATCATGACCCGGGCTGTCCAGAGCACTGCCAATCAAAATTGTAAGCTCCACCAGGAACAGAGAGCTCTTGCGCCCAGGGACGCGCCTTCTGCTGGAAGTCGCCTGCAGCTCACACTCAACACACAAGGAAAGACTAATATCCTGTCTGTTGTCTTGTTTTTGAGACAGGGTCTCCCTGCGGCCCCAGCTGGCCTGGAACATGCTATGTCGACCACGCTGGCCTCAATCTCACACAGAGACCTGTAGGTCTCTGTCTTTCAAGTGGTGAGTTTAAAGGTAAGTGCTACCACACCCGGCCAAGACCAGTATTGTTACACCCCAGACGAGCGCATCCCACCGGGGCTGCTGGTCCGCAGCCTCGCTCCTTACTTCCTCAGGTCCCTGATGTCCTCGTGGCTGACCGTGTGCAGCGCGCCCTTGTGCAGCCTGTCTAACCGCAGGGAGCGTGGGGAGGAGGGGGGGGAGGTTTCACATTTTATGGTCGTCTTGTCGTCTCGTACCTCTTCTCGGGAAGCTGGTAACTGAAGGGAGAGATCGAGTCAGCGAGCTGTTTGTCAGCGAGCAACGCGCGGCTGGGGACGGCCTGAAAGCCCCTCAGCTGTGCCTCAGCCGAAACAAAGTGCCACGTTCTGTTGGCGGTTTTTTTTCAAGGCAGGATCTCACGGAGCCCAGGCTGGCTTTGAACCCCTAACCCTACTGCCTCAACTTCCCAAGTGGTAGGATTACAGGCTGCAGGAAAAAGCTTTCTCCTAGTTAATGCCGTCTTGTCCAGCAGTGGGACCAAGCAGCATGGAGTAACGCAATGCACGGCCCACCCCACCTAGAAGAGCATGGGGCCAGGCAGACCCAGGACACCGCCACCTCCTCCTGAGTCCGGCTCACCAGAAGCCAAGTCCCAACAGGGCACCAAGGACCAGCTCTATGCAGTCAACCACAGCTTTACCAATACAGAAGGGCAGCCAGCCCTCACTGACCAGGAGCCCAAAACAGGCCTCGTCAGGCCACTCTATAGGAACACTGGGGAGGGGGATTCCACTCTGGCAAGTGGCAGCACCTTTCTGTATAGGGGTTGGACACACACAACACAGCTTGGACCATGAGTAAGACCCATGTGTACAGCCGCATCTCTCCGTGTCTGGACTGGATGCTGTAATGGAAGCAAGTGTGTGGCTTAAGATCTCTGGCTCCACTTGACTCAGACAAAATAACCCTGGGTACAGAGGTACTCCTTTTGGGTAAGGCAGGCCCTGTGGAAAGGTCTGCACCTTCTGGTTAGAAGTAGGACAAGGTTTGAGGGAAGTGGGGGCATGTGTCCACACTATAGGATGTAAGCCACAGCTGCTCCTTGGGGCACAAGGGTACAGTGCTCCCACTGTAGCCCACCTGGCTCAGTAAGAAACAAGCAGATCAGGGCTAGACAGGCAGGTGGACACATGCTTAGGGTGTTGTCAGCCAGCAGCAGATAACTTCTGCATCTCCCTGATCTCAAGACACCAGCATCCTGGGCTCAGGTCGGGCTCTGAGGTGCATGCACTTAGCATGCAGGAGGCAAGGCTCTGGGCCCCTCAGGCCAAAGGCCACCATGGCTAGAAACTATGAATAAGAAATGCAAGTTTGCAAGTGGAGATCATCCGTTGTTTAAAACACTACCAAAGAACTGGCTGTTATGTAAGCTACCGGGCTCCTGAGCCAAGCCTCACCCTGCCAGAGCCCGGCTCCCTTACTGGCCCCCAAATCCTAAGAGAGCCTTCCAGATGGGCCCTCTTCTCCTGCGGAACAGGTGCACTGGGACCCCGGCTGGAGTCCATGTCACAAAAACAGGAAGTTGCCTTAACCTGCCAGGATTGCTGAAGGGAGGGGGGGAGACATGACACAATCACAGGGCAACATCTGGCCCATGGCAGGTCTGCAGACACTGCCCTGGAACAGGACATCCTCACATGTCCAGGGACAGGAAGGCAGGGTTGCCATGCTGTAGTTGAGTGCGGCCTGCATACTGCTTCCTTCACCAGAGAACACAGAACCAGCATCAAGGGCCACACTGACCACAAGCCATGGGTGAAGCACAGTACCGTGCAGGGTGGCCCCTCCACTAACAGGGTTGCCACATGGTGACAAACGATCAGGGCAGAGTGGAGACTGACTCCTGCATCCTCATGAACACCCCTCCTCGGGAGGCCAGGGAAAAGACAACTGTTTCTGCACACTGCCAGCGCAGCCAGTCAGGTGGGGATGGCACAGGGGTCTGGCTGTAGCAGGGAATTAGGAACAGTTGTGGCAGCCCCGCCCAGCATGCTGCACTCACTCCAACAGTATCTGAGAAGGAGGCCCAAGCCCCTGCAGGAGCGACCTGGTGGTCAGGGTAGGTGGCAGAGGCCCAAGGGTCAAGCAACCACCAGTTCAGCTCCTGAAGCCAGACAGACATAAAGGCACATCTGCACCCTACATGCCAAGACGGAACCCCAAGCTTCCATACTGGCAAATGGGAATACTATGGTTATCAGTACCTCACAGGGATGCACTACAGAGTTTAAGAAGACAATGATCCAAACTCTTGGGAGGCTGAGGCAGGAGGATTACTGTGAGTTTGAAGCCAACCTGGGCCACATAATGAGTTCCAGGACAGCCTGGGCTATAGAATGGGACCTGTCTCAAAGAAACAAAAACTTTAAAAAAACAAAAAGACAATGGCTTAGTCAAGCACCAGGCTCATGCTTGGCACAGAACGGTGACCTCACAGCATGCCACCCCCTACGTCATTCAGAGGGCCTTCCCAGAGCTCAGCCCTGAGGCTCTGCTCAACAACACCGTGCCCCTTACATACAAGCATGCAGTAACCAGACAGACTCAGGGGACCAGCAGGCCCTTCTGTCCCGGGTTTCAGGGACAAATTGTCCACAGGACCCACCCATGGAGCAGGGTCAGATGAAATACCTCCCCTAAAGCCACTTATTTGTCACTGCGTTACTGCACCATGTGACAGTGGGATGCTCTTGGGAGACATGGCGTTCTACAATGTGCTGTGGAGAGGCAGGGAGGGAAGGAAGGTGCGGGTCATTTACCTTTCTACGGTGCTTCCTTAAGTCACTAGGCTGACAGGCATGTGAAGAAAGGGAGAAAGCACATTTACTGCACACTTGGAAGTTAAAACCAGTACAGCAAGTACATTTAAAACAGGATGGGAGCAGGACAGACATGAGAGCGAGCGCACTGACAGAAAACACTAAACACAAGTCATGCAAGATCTACTGGAAAGTAATGCAAACTGTTACCCAGCTAGAGTCAGTTTGATCATGTGCAGCTTATTAGAACCTGGAGTTCTGTCTAAGCAAGGGCTTGAAGGGCCGTCCACTCCAAGCTGGCCTCTCTAACTGGCTGCAAACATACTGAATTGAACACGTTCAGTCAGGAGAACTGAAGAGGTGACGAGCCTGCTTTTAGTTCATCACTCACTGCCATTAATACAAAAGCCTTACCTAGATTTCATGTGCGACTTTTCTAAAGTCACTGCTTAAAGCAGTGGGAGGAAAGCACCCTATGAAAACCCGAAGCGCCAAGGCTGGCACAGCGGCAGGGAGAGGTTCTATCCTACAGCTCCTGTAAGGCACTCGGCCAGCAGTGGGCTGAGACCTACAGTCTGCATGTGGCACTGGAACCGGACTGGGCACCGCTGTCACGCAGCTTCCACCAGTCCCGTCCGGGCAAGCCATCTCTTCACACAGGAAGCACTTCTTGCAGAATTGCAGACGGCACAAGCCCTTCCTGCCTGTGTCCTCATGTACAACATACTAAGTGCCCTTCGTCACCAGTGACAGAGTAACTCTAACGTGAAATCTCAACCAGCCGCTCTTCCACAACACAGCAGTCTGGCACTTGGCTGCTTGGTCACCAGCAGGCACTGAGGGAGGGACTGTCACAGCACAGGGTGCCAGACCCCAGACTGACAGGGCCCTGGAATCAGGATCAGGCAGAAGCAGAGCTTGTCATCAGCATGGGGACAGCCTGAAGCACACAGGTGTTCTCACAAGAGGTCTAGAAGGACAAAGCCACAGCTGGGGCTGTAGGAGTTTCAGTCTGACCCACCAAGCTAACGATGTACAGCACACAGGCAGTGTGTCACACTACACCAGACCACTTGACATGCCATGCAAGTGACTCTGCCAGCCGAATTAAAGGTATGCCAACTTTCAACCCAACTGCAACTGGACAACAGCACCAAACGGGCGCAGTGCGGCTGGCTGAGCAGCTGGACACCACTTGCTAGTTTAGGACACAAGCTCTAAGTGATAATGCAGCAGTCATCATGCATTCTGAGACCTGCCCTGCACATGGCCACGGCATTCCAGGACAGAGACGTCCCAAGACCAGTGGGGATGCCTGTCTGCTTGAGCTCCATAGGCCTTGGGTCTTTTGACTGGCTGGGCCACCTCAGAGCTCCACAAGGCAGCCCTCCACACATCTCTTCTTCTCCTGTTTGTAGTGCTGGGGACAGAGCCCAGGCCGGGCCAGGCAACCACTCTGCCACCAGCTCCACCCCAGGCTCTTTGCACATCTGTCTACTTGCTGCAGCACCTCTTTTCACAGTTACTGACTGGCTATCCCTGGAAAGCAGGCCACATATCTGTCCCAAAACTAAGTGCTGACCTGCTGCTCTGGTCATTTAAATATGAAATTAACCTGCATAGCTGAATCATTAAGTCCTAGCTAGCATTTACTTTAATATTTTATTATTTTATGTGTATGACTGTATTGCCTGCATGTGTGTAATGTGCACCTGTGTTGCTCAATGCCCATGGAGATCAGATCCCCTGGAACTGGAGTTATGGATGGCTGTTAACCACCATGTGGGTGCTGGGAACTGAACCTGAGTCCTCTGCAAGAGCAGCCAGTGCTCTAAACCACTGAGCCATCTCTCTAGTCCCAGCATTTACTCTAAAAATTTTTTTAAATTTTAATTTATTTTTTTTTGAGACAGGGTCTCCCTGTAGCCCTAACTGACCTGGAACTTACTCTGTAGACCAGGCTGGCCTTGAACGCACAGAAATCTACCTGCCTTGGCCTCCCAAGTGCTGGGATTAAAGGCGTGAGCCACCACTCCCAGCTGTTTACATTTTATGTGTTTTGCCTGCATGCATGTAGGTGCATCCATGCACGTAATGTCCACAGAGGACAAAGAGGGCATTGAACCCTGGAACTAGCTCTCTGGACCATGGTTAGCCACCATGTGGGTGCTGGGAACTGAACCTGGGTCCTCAGGAAGAGCACTGCTCTTAACCAGTCCTTATTACTCATTTTTGAGACAAGGTCTCACCGTATAGCCCTGGCTGACCTGGAATTCTCGCTAGACCAGGCTGTCTTCAAATTCACAGACCCACCTGCCTCTACCTCCACCCAGCAGCTTTTAAAATGTTGGCTCTTTATGATAAGAAACACACTTAGTTTTCTTCTGGGTGAAGATGTGAATTCCAAGTGTGATCCTACCCCAGGAGTGCTGGGCAGGCTGTGGCAGAAAGGCCCCACTTACCAGAGTCATGACGCCCAGCCTGTCCACCTCCCGAGCAGGGCTGTGAGGGACCCTTCTTGGGGTGGACCGACCGCTGCCAGGAGGGGAGGAGCCAGCGAGTGAGGAAGCGGGGTAGGGGGGAATGGAGCTCATTGATCTAAAACGACCAAGATTGTCCAGGCTCCCGCTGCCCACTCTGCTCTCGATCTCCTCTGCCCGCTGCTCTGTGTTCTCTTTTTCTTCTTGTATCAACCTGAAATCAAAACAGAAGGGGTCAGTCTCCTCTACGAGTGACACGGCCATGTGCTTGGATACAAGACCATCAGCTTCCAGCAGGGCATAGGGCGCAGGCCTGTGATCCCAGCAGCGAGGCAGGAAGACACCCAGTCCAAGGCCTGCCTGCGCTATGCGACGAGATGGTCAGTTTCACTAGAGCCACTCAGTCTCGATCTCCATGGATGGTCCCATAGCATGCATTCTCCCACCCACTAGCCCTCAACATGGGGTGGGGCGGGGGGGCATGAGGCAACCCTCTGCCTTTTGGGTCAGGGTCAGGTACTTGAAAGTGTGGGTCTGTGTGGACATGGAGAGACATTCAGCAGGACTTCCAGGGTCCAAAGCCAAGAGCCCACTCAGGCTGGGTGGGAGATGACAGGTGGCACCCCGCTTCCCAATACAACTGCCACCCTCTGCTGGCCATGGGCTAAGCTCTGGCTCATCAGCTGTGTCACGTCACCTGACACTGCTGACAGAGGGGAGCCCTGGCATGCTTGAGGCTCCACCTCACAGGGGTGTGTGCACGCGTGCGTGCGTGCGTGTGCACTCATGCACGTGGGGGGGGTGCCCTTGCATGTCCAGTGCCTTCACCTCTGGGGCTAACTCTTTCACTTCTCAGGGAGGGAAACACAAGGCTCACTTCTCCCAGCATTAAAGCCCCAGAGCCACTGCAACAGGGAGAGTGGCCAAGCTACTAGCTCAGAATTTCATTTTCAGTGAGTTCTGTGGGGATGGAGCAGACAGGATGCTCATTTGATCAGGGAAACAGCTCTCCAACTCCCTGATCTCTTGGTCTGGCTGTTTTTAATTAGTGCAGAGAACACGGGGTTTTGGTATGACATCCTCATACATGGGCACTGTGTTGCTATTGTTTTGAGACAGGGTTTCATGTAGCCCAGGCTGGCCTTAAAATTGCTATATAGACGAGGCTGGCCTCAGTCTCTCACATGCTTGTCCCCCCAGCTCCCGGCTCATCTACCTGATCTCTTTGTTGATGGCGTCTAGCTGCTCCTGGAGCATCATGGCCAGTGTCTGGGCATCAGCCTGCCCACTGGGAGACAACAGATCAACCGAGCTGAGCAGAGGATCCCTATCGTCTTCTCCATCAGACACATCCACATCACTTTCAAATGCCTGTGCCACATTTGCCAGGACGCTGGCTTGCTGGGCCCGCTCCCAGTCCTGTTCATTAAGGGTCTGCACCTGCCAATAAGAATGCCAAGTCTCAGCACACAAGAGCCCCAGGGCTTGCTCCATTGGTGGGACAGGCCACCAGAAGTGCAGTGTCTAAGGGACACCCAAGACTGCAAAGACGGTTCATGCTGATGAGCTGCTGATGTCTACTAAGCAAGTGCCATCTGACAGACAGGGCAAGCTGAGTGCACACACCTCTACTGCAGCCCCTGGGAGGCAGAGGCAGAGAGTCTAGGCACATCTGTGAGGCCCTATCTCAAGAAGAGTGAGCGCTGGCAGAGAACAAGCCATTCCTCTGACTGCCCTCTGACAGCAACACCTCCAGGTTCTTGGGGGAAGAAAGCCCGAGACCTGAAAAGGTACAACGAGATCTACACTCAGGTGGTCACTACAGTGGGAATTGAAAAGGATGACAGAGCGACGAGCTCCCATCCGCCATCCAATGACACACTGGGTGTGACACACTGGGTGTGACACACTGGGTGTGGACTTCCCACTACAGCACCCTCTCTCGGTTGGTTCATCCATCACTTACGAACACACTCTCCCATCTACCACCTTAAACCCATAAACAGAAACTACAAAACCTTACCCTATCCCGCCTCCTGCTGCCTATCACCCACTTCCTTGCCCTGCCTGCAAAGCATCTCTGGGGACTGCCCATCTGGGTCTGCTCCCTCCCTCCCTTCCCAAGGGCTCACTGAAAGCGGGCAGAGACCCTCCCTCCAGAAGACTGCTCCAGGGCAGTGCCGTTCAACAAGTCCTCACAACACCCCTGCCCTGCACTCATCCCAGATGCCATCCTCCCTGGATGTCCTGCCCAGCTGGCTGTGGGACAACCCCCAACACCTCTCACTCACTGCCACCCCTGCCTGTGGTTCCAGGGTGCCCCTGGCCACAGGCTTCCATGCAGTCTTACTTGCCTGAAGTTCTCAATACCCCATGGGCCATGGCCCTGGGCTTACGCCTCTCCCTCTGGACAGCTCTCTTGGTTCTAAACTGGATTATCCAGGGGGCAGCCGAGCCTGTCCCGTGCACACAGGACAGGCCTCTCAGCCTGAGCGCCCCGCAGCGCCCCAGGTCAAGCCTTCTCTCTCTGCTCCCTCTGGTCTCTGCTCACATCACCCTCACAGAGGCAGCTGCGTGGCCACTCTGCAACCCAGTGCCTTGGCACCCATTCCGGCCCCCAACAAACTGTGGCGATTTGAAAATCCACTCCTCTCTCCAAGCACAGCACAGTGGGGGCAGGTGGTGGTAACTCAGTCATGGGAAGGTGTGTGCTTCCCGGCAGGCAGTGAACGGCCTGGACTTTCTCTAGGCTCTCTTCAAACGTGAGCCCTGAAGGAAGCCACTGTCCTACCACGGGAATCCCCAGTCCACAGCCAGGTCCAGCAGCGAGGACCACGGTTTCTGGCCCACACTGGGAGTGCCGAGACTTACCCTGGCTACCAGCTCCGGAAACCCCGAGCCCTGGTCACCTACATGCTGTTCCTGAACCTGAAGACCTGGGAAGGAGGTGTGGCCATGCCTTAGCCCAATCTTCGTGGTCACTTGCCACAGAGCACTGGGCAGCACCACCCATAACACCGTGCTGCTCAGACTGTGTTCTGGGCTGAGGCACTGTGCTACCCCACCTCCTCGTTTTTCAGTTCTGTGACAGGGTTTCCTTCTGTAGCCCAGGTTGGCCTGGAACTCATGGCAATCCTCCTGCCTCAGCCTCCCAAGTGCTAAGATTACAGGTGTGTGCCACCATGTCTGACATCACTTATTTTTATTTACCTCAAATAAGTACTAATTAGCATTAAATTTAAAGGCTAATTCTTAACAAAATGTATGTTCTTAAAAAGAACAGAAACTGAAAAGCTGGCGTGTCCGAAAAGCAAACTGAGCCGAAAGAGCCAGGGAAAAAAGTGTGGAGGGAGTACGGGAAGGAGGCACAAGGAGGAAGCATGGGGAGGAAGCACGGGAAGTACGGGGAGGAAGCATGGGGAGGAAGGACAGGAAGGAGGCACAGGGAAGTAGAGAAAGTATAGGAAATAGGTAGGGGAAGGAGGTATGGGGAAGGAAGTACAGGATGTACAGGAAGTAGGTACGAGAAGGAAGGGGGAGGAGGCGGCACAGGAAAGGAAGTGAGAGGGACGTACAGGGAAGCACGGGGGAAGAAAGCACGGGGAAGGAAATGGGGGAGGAAGTGGGAGGGAAGGAAATACGAGGGGAAGGAGGGAGGGGGAGTCTGCAGAGCAGCAGGCGTCCCGAGGGCAGAAGCCTTGCCTTTGACGGCTCGTCTCGGAGCGCTGCCAGCCGGCCCTTCTGGGGGCGCCGCAACACCGCACCGCTGTAGGCATCTACGTGCCCGTCCGCCACAGGGAGCCTGAAGTCCGGGACGCTTCCCAGGTGGGGTCGGCTGAAAGGCGGAAAAGGGCGGCTGTGAGAGGAACGGCAGTCAGGCCATGGAGTCCGAGTGGCCCCTCGGCCACCCACCGCTGGCCAGCACTTCCACCTTCACCACCCTGTCCTCCAGGCAGAAGCCTCACTAGCAAGGAAAGCCTCGGAGGCAAGGTGAAGCCCAGCTGCCTGCACTGGGGCGGCCAGAGGCCCATGTGAGAAACTCAAGGTCCAGGTGGTGGCTCTCCATCTGCACGACCCTCCAAGGCTGGCTGAGTGGCACACGGATGCCACCTGCAGCCACCACCTGCTCCATGGCTTTCCCACTGAGTTCAATGTGAGTCCGGGCAGCGGTCACAACACTCCCTTCGGCACAGCTGGGGCATGTACGGACCAAGAGCTAATGCATCTGTATATACAGGTCGCTCAGGGATGAGGTATCTCTAGAAGTGGGGGGGGGGGGGGGGGGGTGGAAAAGGGGGGGGGCGCCCTAAGGGACCCAGGCATACCCCAGACCCGAGTGGGGGGGACGGTGGGGGGGGGGGGGGGGGGGGCGTTGAGCAACCAGGGAGGAGACTCTAAGGAGCACCAGCTGTTCCCAGGCCAAGGTGTATGGAGACAGTGCTGGGGCAGGCCCTTGGCCTTGGCACCTAAGTCCATGGCTCTCCCAGTGCTAATCCTACAATTCTGGTTCCTGGGAAAAGGAGCCGCCTCATCTCATCTCCCTCAGGGTCGGGCACCTGATCCTGTCTTCAGACCCAACCCCTGCCAAGAGGTCAGTTGGCCCTCCCTGCTCAGCATCCTCTGCTGCCCACTGTGACTTCAGGCCGGCCATGTGTGGCCTGGTCCCCCCCTACCTGCCACACTGGGGCTCCCAGAACAAGCAGCTCTTTGCCCACCCCTTGAACATGGTCCCAGGACATGACAAGCCTTCTCCGGCTCAGATCCCCTTCTGCTCATTAACTTCTCTTCCCTCTCCTCTAAGACACAATGAAGGAAGCCGCACGAGAACCAGGTGTTGGCGGTGGCACAAGCACTTGGGAGAGGCAGGAGGATCCTGAGTTTGAGGCCAGCCTGGGCTACAAAGCACTGCCTGCTGGCTCCTGACAGCAATCTACTGTGCACAGTGACAGCACGGGCCTCTGTCCATCACTCTGTCTGCACCTCTCCTGTGATTCTTTCCCTTGGCTACACAGTGAGGGTTCTGGCTCGAACTTCCTTGCCCTGGTGTGCCAGGGCTGGTCAGGACTAGCCACAGAGGCCTCACCCTGCACAGGCCTGCAGTCTCCTTGCCTGCTCCAAGTGGGAATCTCTGCTGCACAATGATGTCACCAGGAACCATGAGCAACTTCTACTAAGAGTTAACTCTTGCTCAATGACCACTGTCTTCAAAGAAACAAAACCAAAAAAACCCCATCCATGCCTTAGCAATTGCCTCTACCGGAGAGACAAAGAAAAGTAAGGCTAAGAGGCTCCTGTGCTGGGCACTTCCTGGATTCACCAGCAGCCTTGCCTGTCAGCCCACAGTATGCCCAGTCCTCACCAACAATTCCAATTGCAGCACTGAGTGCACCTCATGCAGTTCCACTGCAGCCAGGCTCCTCCCTGGAGGACTGCCCTTCAACTCTGGTCCCGCTCTGTCCTGTCCCTGCAGGTGTGCCACCAATTGGGCACCTAGCCGATCCATCACGCCCCCTCAAGTGCCTCCTGTGCTCCTGAACATTGCTAGTGGCATGGGTCGAGTTCCTGGGAAGGAGCTTCTGTCCCTCCCATCTGCTGGTGAGCCACAAACATCTCCAAAGCCACACCGGGCTGTCCCCACTGTGCTGCCCTAGCATGAGCACAAGGTCAAGAAGGTGTGTGCCCCATACCACCATACCCGTGATGAAGCGAAGGGCCTCTCAGTCTCATCTGGTCCAGCTCAGCCCTCAGGGTGTCAATGTTCAGGATAAGCTGGTCCTAGAAGACAATGAGGAGCTTACATGGAGGCTCCAAGATGCAGGTGCACTCACAGCAGGTGAGGGTGCCAAACGGCAGCGGAGTGTTTCAGGTCTGAGGTTTTCCGAGTCCTGTCGTCAACAGAACTCAGGCCTCCAAATCCAGGAGAGCTTAATGACGGAAAAGCACATCCCTGGTCAGAGAAGTCACAGAGGGATCAAACGCCAAACCCTTAAATGCACTGATTCTGTTTATTTTTATGTGTAGTAGTGTTTTGCCTGCATATATGTATGTGTATCATGTGCATGAAATGCCCATGGAGGCCAGAAGTGGGCGATGAATCTTCTGGAACTGAAGTTACATGCAGATGGTTGCTGGCTGCCATGTGGGTGCTGGAAACCCAAGCCAGGTCTCCACAAGAGCAGCCAGTGTTGTTAACCACTAAGCTGTCGCTCCAGCCCCTTTTTCAATTTTGTTTTCAATGTGGGCTTTTTTAAAAAACTTTTTAAAATTTATTTTTATTTTACATGTATGAATGTTCCGCCTGCATGTATGTAAGCACACCATGTGCATGCAATGCCTAGAGGCCAGAAGAGAGCACTGGATCCCCTAGAACTGCAGTTATAGATGGTTGTTAGCTGCCATGTGGGTGCTGGAAACCAAACCAGGGATGTCTTAAATGCTGTTCCCCATGCACTGCTTCTGCAGGAACAGTGGAAAGAGGGGACCAAGCTAACTTCTACCTGCAGACCGCGTGGTTTTCGTCTCCAAGCTCTCACTCCTGCCTGTCTGATGCTAGTCAGTTCCATGCTGCCCAGTGCAGTGGCCACCCAGCTATGGAGCCTGCGCACTCTCCGCCCAAAGTGACTGCTCGCCTACCCCAGTGAGAACAGATAATGAAATAACCTGTTACTGCATTACATGAAGGGAACTTTGTTTTTTGTACTGTGTTCACATGTGCCTGAAAGCTACCATGTGGCTCCCACTGGTCCACTCTGTTGACTAGGACTGTGCTCTATTGTCCTGGCAGTCCTGGGCCCAGGGCCTGGATCCGGGGCTCTGCCCCAGGGCCACACGGCACTGACAGTACTATTTCTGACAAGAGGCTCATGCTGAGCTGCCAACAGACCCAGAAAAGACCCAGATTCTGAGCCTAGGGTGATGCATACAGTGGTGAATGGGAAGGCCGTGAGGAGGGCATCTGGGTCTCCTCCCAGCACCTTGGTAACCACCACGCAGCAACTTGTCAGCTGTCCCACCTCTCAGCAAGCAGTACCTTCTCATGCTGCGTCTCTTCCAACTGCTTCTTTGTATTTTCAACTTCCCGTAACAGAGAATTCTGAAAAAGACAAGAGTCCTTCAGGACTGGCCCCTCCAAATGGGCTGTCTGACGTACTATCACCTGACACACTGCGGCTGCACCTGCTTAAACTACAAGCAGTGCAGAAGGCAGGGTCCTGGGAGGCACTGTGGAGCGGGTCACAGCACAGTCACCGCTCCATCAGGCGAGGTCAGAGCTATCAATGAAGGACAGCCTGTCCCTCCAACTGACCGACTCACTAAGCATGGCCCTGCCAAGTTCATGGTGCCAAGGTTTTTTGTTGTTTATTTTTTTAGGGTTTTTTTGAGACAGTCTTATTCCATAGACCAGACTAGACTTGAACATGAGGCCTCTACTTCTGGAATTAAAGGTATGAGTCACCACCCTGACTTGTGCATCTGTTTTAAGCAGGTAAACACTTTATACCAACATTTTTTTTCACTGTTTTGGCTTAAGACGGGGTCTCACTGTATAGCCCTGACTGGCCTAGAACTCACTGTGCAGACCAGGCCGGCCCCAAAATCACTAAGATCTAACTGCTTCCACCTCTGAAGGAATGAAAAGGTGTGGGCCACCGTGCCTGGTTTCTGTAAATAAATTTTTGGGAAGAAAGTCTCACTCTGTGGTGCAGGCTGCCGCAAACCTGAGATCCTCCCGTATGAAAGGTATGTGCCACCAGGCTTGATTGTGCATAGAACAGCACTGATGAACATACCCACACACGCTGCCAGGATGCCGTGAGACTGATTAGCACACCCACACATGCATGCTGTCCACCCATCCATGCAAACTTCCTAGGCTGCTCTGAGTGTAGTTTGTGACTTCATTACGCACTGAAAGCCTGATGTGTTTCCATCTAGCCCTTTGTATGAACACTGGCCTGTGTCTGTCCTAGACATGAAGAGTGACACACAAGGACACACACGCACACACCAACCAGGTGACTGAGACCAGCTTCTGCCTTTCCCTGTCTGCAGAACACTGTGCAGCACCACTGTGCAGCTAGGCAGGGAGCCTAGCACCTGCCCACCTTGTCCTCCAGTGCCGCCATTCTCTCCTTCAGATGGAGCTGTAGCCGCTCGTTGGACTCCGAGAGAAGCCTGTCCACGGTGTCTGAGAGGCGCTTGTTATGTTCCTCATTCATCTTTTCTCTTTGCCTTGCCTAGAACAGGAGAGGAAGGTGTCAGATTCAGAACTTGAGGACCAACAGTCACATGACCACTGCTCCCCCATGGCCCCTGGGACTTTCTGGAGAAGACCACACTCAGGACCTGGGGAACTCAGGTGAGTCTGAGAGGTGGCAGGCCAGAAGATGCTACTACTTCTACAAAGCGGACCAGCAGGCACTGGGGCCCCAGTCCCGAGCCGTCAGCTGCAGTAGCAGCTTTCCTTGGGGAAGTACAGAGATTCAAGAGGACCAGCTCATCTGCAAACGGGCCCAGGCATTGTCCCCGGTACAAAGAAAAGCTTGGTCCAAAGGGGAGGGAGGCAACATTAAAAGCTGAACAAGCTGTTTTGAGAAGTCGGCAGATGGTGTGTCCTCACACCCGTGCTGTGGGAAGGTCTCACTATGGAGGTCCAAAGCAGGAACTACAAATGACAACCCTAAGTGACTAAATGTGCTCACAGAGGCAACAAGTTTGCTTCATGAGACCACAGTCGACTGCAGGGAGAGCTGCATCCACCCTGAGAAGACACAGGACAGACGCAAGGGGCTGGAGGAGTCAAGAGGCAGCTCAAATTCAGGCCCTCACCACCATGCCCGCTGCAGTATCAGGGCTCCTCCCAGGTACAGGGCAGTGGGCAGAGGTACACCCAAGTCCCTGTGCCCAGCAGCCCTGCCTGGGTGCAGCTTCTTTGTGGGTGGAGTGGGGTGGGGAACCTCCCACAGCCCTCAGAATGCACTGCATGAAAAACTGTCAGGTGCTAAGGAGCCCTGTGCCCCAGAGCAGACGGCCCTTTGGAGGAGGGCAGCTATTTTCTGTTAGCAACTGAATACTTCTAAAGCAAAACAGATGAAAGTCTAAATGCAAACGTAATTCTCTGTTCATAGGCTCAATGAGTGTGAGTATGCATGCACGCGCACGTGTGTGTGAGAGAGAGGGAGGGAGGAAGGGAGAGAGAGAGAGAGAGAGAGTTGCCTGCTCTTTTAGGGGCAAAGTATCTCCTACAAGTCTGTGGGATTCTCTGCAGTGTGAAGCCAACAGCAAAGACCTGTTAAGCACAACAGCCACCAACGGCTGGCAAAGCCCTGGCTGATGTACTATGCAGGGCTCTGCAGTCAGGAGTTCAAACTTTCCCCCTCTGCATAGCAGCCTGGGTTGGAGAACCTGGGTCTGCTCCCTGGATGATTCAGGAATCAGCCTTCCACAGCACAGCCTCCTACCCCACAGTGGCTCCAAGTCTGTGCTCCTCCTGCTGATACCACTGCCCCATGAGGGATTTGGGGAGATGGGTCAGGGCTCTGGCTTGAACATGGGATCTCAGTCCCTCATCCTGAGCAGGGTACTAGTCACCAGGAGGACAGGCCCTGTTCTGTTTCAGGAGGGTTCCCCAGCCAGTACCATGGGTTTCGGGGAAATCAGTCAGGTCCCATTTATATCTGGACAGTCCCTGATGGGCTGGAAGAGCAAGAAGCCTTCCTGGACTTGGGCTCCTGGCTGCCCTGCAGTACTGTCCTTGGTGAATGTGGGCTCCCAGCTGCCCTGTGGTACGACTGTGGAAACAGACGCCTGCTGTCACCAACACTGACAAAACGGTCTGTGTGGGACACACACGCTGGTGCAGTTCAGAGAGGCCACAGTCCAGGCTCCCAAGACGAGACCCAGGCGGAAGAAAGGAGAGGGGCAGAGGCCCAAGACCAAGGCCGGGGCCCCACCCGTACCCGCTGCAGCTCCTGGTTCTTCTCCTCCAGCTGTGCTTCCATCTGCCGAAGCCTCTCCTCGATGTTGCCATGTCTCTCCTCGGCCTGGAGGCAAAGACGACAGCAGCTGAGCGCCTGCGCACACCGCGTGCTCTTGCTACAACTACTGCAGCGGCAGCAAGCACTACATGCTGTGTGGACTGCATCACCTCGTCTGGTCTGTGGCTCCAGGTGAGACACACTGTGAGGCAACTAACCCGCTCGTGACCTAAAGCATGGCGGGTGCTGGTGACTGCCTGCCTCTCTGTGTCCCCCGCCCTGGCCCGACCTCGGTGGACCTGGGACATTGCATCCGCAGAGTCCTCGGCTCTGTGGGCAGCACAGGAAGCAGAAAGCGGCAAGCACAAGGCAGAAGCAGGGCACACGGTCTACCTTCCTAAGCTGGGCAGTGCGCACCAACAGTTTAGCCTCCTTAGCAGAGCTCCCAGAAGACAAAGGGTCAGACTACAGAGCCGACAAGGACAGGAAGGACAGCAGAGAGAAAGAAACCGAGACTTAGGAGTGGACCAGGGAGGGCAGGAGCAAGGCTCTGTACAGCTGTCAGGAGCACGCATGCTGGGCCCAGGTGCCCCTCACCACCAGGACGCTGTTTCCACCTGGGCGCCTCTCCAGGCCCTCCCCGGCAGCAATGCCCAAGTTGGGGAGCAGGACTCCTGGGGAGGCCCAAGGCCTCCATTCATGCTGCTCCTGGGCGTGGCTGCTGGGCTCGGCAGCCTAGGCCCTGACCTCACTTTGGAACCCCAGTTTACCAGCCTGCTTCACTGTGGATGGCGAAGACCTAGAGGGCAGGGACTGTCCGTGCACACAGCTCACCAACAGGGGTGGGAAACACATCCCTTACAAAGCATTCAGCTCTGTGTGTGACCTGCAGTCTTAACTATGCTGCCAGCTGAGGCTGGAGTGTCATCAGAGGCAGGAGTTTGGGGAGTGTGGGCAGCAGAGACTGCACCTCAACAAGCTAATCAACAGGTTTAAGCAACTTCAAAAGAAGGAAATGGCTTAAAACTATATTCCAAGTGTACTTTGTCTTTGGACAAGAGTCACCTTCCTTCTTCTGAGAAGCACTGTCCCTTCTGCCAGCACGCACACCTTGAGATGGTCAGAGACACAACCCAAGGGGCAGAGACTCAGACCATAAAGGACAGCACTGTGTGCCTGACAATCGGCCAAGTGGCAAAGAATCCGGCACCATCTCACACAGAAACGAGAGCGCCACCGTGGCGGACCCAGGCGCACTGGCTAAAGCATCGGTCCCCACGAGACCCCAGCAGCCCGGGCACACCCGGCTCACCTTGGAGAGCGCAGCCACCCTCTGGGCCAGCTCCGCCTCCACCTCCGGCAGTGTCTCAGCTTTACGCAGGGTCTGCTGCAGCTTCTGTTCTGCCAGCTCCAGGCGCTCCTGCAACTGGCGGTTCTTGTCCTCTGTCTGCAATGAGAGCAGGGCGTCACCCTCCTGTTAAGGCTTCATGGGCAGCTTTTCGGGCGACCGTTCTTCACCCACCCTGCTGGACTGTTGATGAAACACCTCTTGTCCTAGCATGCTCATAGCAGCCTTTTTTTTTTTTTTTTTTTTCCTTTGTTTGGCTTTTTTTCTTTCTTTTCTTTCATTTTTTTTAAGCACATAAAGGTTCCTATCCATAGGAGATGAGCCGCCGGAACTGCTCATTCTGAAAGTTGAGCCGGCCTGACACTGGTACTAGAAGGTGTGAGTGCTCACAGCGCCCTGCTGGAGAGCGTGCCAAATGGTGCTTTGTTTTTGTTTTTGTTTTGGGGTTTCCCTGTAGCCCCCGGAACTTGGTATGTAGACCAGGCGGCCCTAATCTCACAGAGGTCTGCCAGCCTCTACTATCTGGATGTGAGGCTATTCTTTACTCCGTGCTCAGGCCTGGTCTGCACTGCTCCCTGTGAAGTTGTAGCACATAGACATCAGGCTTTAAGCCCTCACAACGTGTTCTTACAGTCACAGGTCACACAGCACTGGCCCACAGTATCAGTTTTAAGGCTGCCTAGTTTAGTTCATTTTTGGTCAAGCAATGCACCTTTTTTAAAAAGACTTTCCAAAAGCGTGACAAGGTTTCTCTGGCTAACTCTCAAAGCCCTGAGACCACACAGTCAGGAGCTGCCTAACCTGCCAAACCCCAGCAGCACTAGCCCTCAGGGCAGCTGACTCCAGCACTGCCACATGTTGGTGCTTCCAGCTGCCAGCCGGCCCCCAACTGCCCTGAAGCTCTCCCTTATTTAGTAAAATGGCTAACAAGGGGCAACTATGTTTCAGTGAAAACAGAAGAAAAGGGCTGGGACATGGCTCAGTGGGAAAGCACTGTTATGCAAGCAGAGATCTGGTTGAGGCCCAGCACCCACATAAAGAAGCTGGGTGCACTGACACATGCTTGTTCCCCAGCACTGGGAGATGCGAACTGAGCATCCTCAGGCTCACTGGCCAGCCAGTCCATCCAGTCAGTCAGAGAGCTCCAGGTTCAGTAAGAGACCTTGTCTCAAAAACCATGGTGGCAGCTGCTTGGCATGCTGGCGCAAGTCTTCAGTTCCAGTACTCAGAAGTAGAGGCAGGCAGATCTCTGTGAGCTCAAGGTCAGTCTGCTCTATGTAGTGAGTTCCAGGTCAGCTGGGACTACAGGGAGACCATGTGCACCCACACATACAAGTGCATGTGTGATATACACACACACACACACACACCAAAAAAAAAAAAAAAAAAAAAGAAAGAAAACAGAAGCAAGAATCAAGTGCAGCCCCTTAAGATGCAAAGAAGTAAATCACACAGAAAATGACATTTTGACTTGACTTCCAGTGGGCAACTTAGAGAAAAAAGGTCTTCAACTTCTCAAGAACGAAAGCCAGAAAGGGGCTCAGAAAACCCAGTACCTGCCGGTGTATGGAGTCTTTATTTGCAATTTCATTTTCAAGTTTATCATTGAGGTCATGCACAGACGTGGCTTCACGCTGTGCAGCGAGGTAGCGTTTTTCCAGAGTGGTGATCCTCTCCTCCATGTCCTCCTTCTGGGCCATCGCCTGCATTGACAGTCCGGGGAGACAGGTGACTCCACGGGACACGTTAGAGTACTTAACGACAAAAAAACTCAGCCAAATTCTACACACTCTGAGATGTAAAGTTACTGCACCCCAAATTGAACTGTTTGCCGTTTTTTCCAAACTGGAAGAAGATGCACCTGCCTTACATCAAGAACATTCCCCCAGGACCAGGAGACTCACCTGCTCACCCTGCCAAGTTTATTCCAGTCTATACAACATAAAAACCTATGTGCAATGAAACACCCCAGCCCAAGAATTCAAGGTGAAGGCCCCTGCAGCAAGCGTGCAGCCTGTGCCCACCCCAAGCTACAAACGGCTTGCCCAGTAGTGGCGGTCTCGGCAGGGCAGCAAGACACAAGCCTCACTTTCTCAGTTCAAGCACAGTAACAAATGCAAACAGAGGTCAGTACTGAGCTAAGAGACTGCATTATTCTTGGACCACCGCAAACCATTAATGTGGCAAAGAATTTTTGAAATTCCTTTAAGACCTGCCTTTTTAATAAAAAAAAAAAAAAAAAATGAGGCTGGAAAGATGGCTTAGCGGTTAAGATCACTGACTGCTCTTACAGAGGACCCAGGTTTGATTCCCAGCACCCATACGGTAGCTAACAACTGTCTGTAACTCCAGTTCCAGAGGAAATTACACCCTCTTCTGACCTCCACAGGCTTTGCATGACATGGGTACACTTACATACATGCAGGCAATACACATAAAA